CCACCAACGCCTGGCCTGTTCCTGTCTTGAATACCTCTCATGAATCCTGGGATTAAAGACGTGAGCTCTGTTACTCTTTTAGACTAATTCAACCTTGTGTAAGCCTGGGTGGCCTTGAACTCACAGAGATCCATCTGCCTCTGCCTTTCGAGTGCTGGGATTAAAGGTGTGTGCCACCACTGCCTGACCTCTGTGACTTGTGGCTGACTTTGCTTTCTGAATCCTCAGTCAAGCTTTATTAAATCATAAATAATGTATCACTACACGGCATGATCTGGAAAAACCCCATTCCTACCTCTTTCTCTCTCCAAACCCTGCCCACTCAGAGAAATCTCTGAACAAAGGAAAGGCACCAAAAACCCTAGTTCTGCATTCTTGGTGGCTACCGTGACTTCCTTCCCTGAAGTTGCCAGTCACCTAAGTCTCTGCCTAAATCGTTCACCCTTTGATCATAATTGGGCATAAACCCAGTTTGTGGAAAAATACATTGTTACCCCTTGTCTACAATCTATACAAACCCTCTACTTTAGTTCAGGCATGTGGCTTCTCAGGCCTCAATCTCTGGGACTGGAGAATCCACCTGGGAGTTGCTTTGCTCCAATAAACCTGTTCTTACACTTTTTTTCAACTCGGCTTGATGTGGCTTACTGTGTCAGCAGAGAAACCTATTACCGGGGCACAGAAAACCTGTTACTGGGCTCTTCATGATGTATATGCCGTCTCTCCCAACCCTCTGGTACCCATTGCCATGTGCTTGTTCTATCCAGAGAATGTACAGCATGCTCTACGGTGGGGGAATGTCTCAAGGTTCTTGGGACGCACTGATCCTTTCTGGCTCTTTCGAGTCTGGTCGCTGCCTGTGTGTATCCCTTTTGGGTTAGAGAGACTAAGATTTATATAAGCACATACACATGCACATGTCTCTCACACACACAGCTGATGGATTTAAAGAAGTTCTTTGACTGTGGAAGCTGGAGAGCCAGGGAAGATCTGATATTGCATTCTTGGCCTTCATCTGCAAGTAGAGTTGCTTTTTCCTCTTCTCCAGGAACCCTGGTCTTTTCTTTCAAGGTCTTCAGCAGAATAGAGCAGGTCCACATACATGTTCAATTTCTGCTTTCTTCAAATTCTACGCATTTGATTATTAGACTTCTCTAAAAAGTACCTTTGCATACCCATGTGTTGCTGCTCCCTCATGATCTCCTCCCCCCTCCTCTTCTCTCCCCTTCTCTATCTCCTAGCCCTGCCCCTCCCAATTTGCTCAGGAGATCTTGTCCCTTTCCCCTGCTCCTTCACCCCACTTTAAGAAAAAAAGATTTAGGTAATTATTATGTGTACAGTGTTCTGTGTACATGTCTTTCTGCAGGCCAGAAGAGGGCACCAGATCTCATTACGGGTAGTTGTGAGCCACCATGTGGTTGCTGGGAACTGAACTCAGGACCTCTGGAAGAATTATTCACAAAAGTGAAGAAGTTAAAACAGTCTGAAGGTCTGCTGGTGTATGAAGAGCCAAAATATGGTCCCTGCACACAGTGGACACTGTTAACCCACAGAAGGAGATTCTATGTTAAGGACAGCATGCCAGAGGGGGACAGCAGGGCTGCCCAGTGGGTGACTCTCTGTCATTCCTGACAACTTGAGTTTGATCCTGGAACCTAAACAGTGGAGGGAGGGAACTGGCCCCTGAAAGTTGTCCTCTGATCTCTACATGTGTGCGGTGGCACACATGTGGCCACACACACCAAGAAGATGGCTCAGATGCTATTCTAGGTTTTTCTTTCTTCTTTAGTGACCAGAAGATATAAACGATGGATAAAGAAGATTTATTGTTCTCTGTACCTAGATGCACGAGGCACGCAGAGGTAGCCAGCATGAAAAGGAGGAAGAGGGTGAGATCTGACTCTCTCTTAGGGGCTAGCATGAACATAGAGTCACAGATAGCCAGGGGAAGAGCTGTGTTGGAGGCTGGGGGCTGGCGGGGGAGGGGGGAGAGCGGGGAGTGAGAGTGCTGTCTTGGCTCTGACTTGGGCTCCAGGGATGGAACGTTTGAGTGTGTAAATCATGAAGTGACCAGGATCTCAGGACCTCAGAGTTGTAGTCGAGCTCTGTCAGAGGATAGAAAAGTCTGGGATGCAGAAAGCTGAGTCTATTATTCACAGCTGTGAGCCACAGTCTGTTGTTGTGGGATGTTTGTACACTGTGTGAGGACGTATTGGTGTGATTGGTGCAATAACAAGCTGAATGACTGCCAGGCATTGGTGGCGCACACCTTTAATCCCAGCACTCGGGAGGCAGAGGCAGGCGGATCTCTGTGAGTTCGAGGCCAGCCTGGTCTACAGAGTGAGTTCCAGGACAGGTTCCAAAACAATACAGAGAAACCCTGTCTTGAAAGGCAAAAAAAAAAAAAAAAAAAAAAAAAGCTGAATGGCCAATGGCTAGGCAGGAGGTACAGGCAGGACTTCCCAGGCACAGAGACAGGAAGTAGGAGGAGATAATTAAGGTGCAAGGAGATGCCAATGAAACATGGAGGGAGTTGGACATATAGAATGAGAGAAAGATAAAAAGCCATTAGACAAAATGTAGATTAGTATAAGTGGGTTAATTTAAGTCATAAGAGCTAGTGCGACAAGCATAAGCTAAGGGTTGAGTCTGCATAATTAGTAAGTCTCCCTGATGTTATTTGGGAGCTGGCTGGCAGGACAGAGAAAGACTTGTTACAGCAGTCAGGAAAGAGATGTGAGGCGTGGCTGTCCAGGACCGTGAAGACATCTTCCTGTAACCTGCTGCCTCCTCTCTGCGACTTTAGGCTCAGAGTCTAGGTAGGGTGACTGGTGTCTAGATGCTGTGGTTTCCCTTACTCTGTGCCCTTGGAAGAAAGCATTCAGTACACAGTTAGACCCCGATCCTGGGGGAAACCAAGGGCATATCACAGCCAGGACGAAGGTACAGGAAGATCCTCCAACTACATCATCAAACCGGGAGCTGATCTCTTCCACAGTCCCAGTCCTGACCTTACCTGGGAGATGGGCCTACTGCACACTGGAGTCCTCCCACTCCTGTTAGTGTAAACCTTTTGGCCTGCAGCTCTGGGTGCTCTGGCAGGCAGAGGGCTGGGCTGTCGGAGGACACTGAGTGTCCCACATGCTCGGAGCCATCGGGCAGGCATGGGACAAGGTGGGATGAGGTCATGACTAATCTTGGCAGCCAGTCAGCTAGGGACGAGAGGAGCCCCCTCAGCCCACAGATCTGAGATCTGCAAGTGTAAACTTCTGAATGTTGTGGTCTCTCACCACAGGTATACTGCTGACTACCTGTGTAGGAGCAGGGAGGAGCCCAACCGTGCTTTAGGGGTTCAGCACCGCTGCCTGGTGGTTTGGCTATGCTCCAGTAAGAGGGACTGACTCACATCTGAAAAAAAAAACGCAAATGTGTAAGTGGACACAGGGTATTTGAGTGTTTCTGTGGCACCTTGCTATTCCTTAGGGAGTTGGCTTTGCTGTTCCAAGTGGAAGGCAGGGTCAGGTTTCCCAAGAAACCCTAAAATAGACCCCAATTGCCTGGAGGAATCCTGCCAGCCTCTTGGTGGCAGCCTGCCCCAGGTTCACCTGCCTGGCCCCAAGTTGTGCTCAAGTTTCTTATCTAAGCTGGGGACCCTCAGTCCCATCTGTGCAGGTTGTCTGGGATCCCTAACCTCCTTGCTCAGTCATTCTGCCTTTATAGAGTGTTTGTCAACTATTGGTGGTGGGATTGTTACTGAGTCCATGAGTATGGGAGACCAGCCAGGCTAAGGCAAATGGGGAACTGGCTGGTTAGTCTGGGTCTTTTGCAAGAAGTTTCACAAATAAGTGATGACCACCTCCAGGGAGGGTCCCTGAAGCTCTTAATCCGCCGAGACATCTCAGTCCTGAACTTAAAAACTGAAAGAAGATTTCTCACGTGTGTGTGTGTGTGTGTGTGTGTGTGTGTATGTGTGTGTGTGTGTAGAGTTTGATCACAAGAAGGGAACAGCCCATGCAGCCCATCTCTGCCTCTCAGCACTTATCTTCAGGGCTAGGGGATGCCCATGTTGAGAAGGTTTAGGGAAGGGCCCTGTAGGGAAGGACTGAGCCTATCCTGAAATCGGGCCGGCAGGATTTCCTACCCCTAAAAGGCTTCTGTAATCTGTGTCCTGGAGACCCTGGGTAGTTGAGCATAGCTAAAACCTGGCTGGAGCACTGTTCTGCATGCTCTACCCAAGGCAGCTTGGAGTCACTGCAATGTCTTCATCAGCCACACACATAGTCAGGTGGTTTCAGCACCCAGTGAGACTTCTGGTGGACTAGCTGGGTGGGGTGGGGATTTGGGCAGGGCCTGCAGGCAGAGAATTCACCCAAGGTGTGAGGGCCTCTTGGGGGGGGGGCTAAGGAGGAGCTTTGGAAGCCTGGAAGAAGCCTTTAACCGTCGACACTTTCCTTCTCCAGGTCCAGGGTGGAGCACTCCTTTCTGAAGGCTTTCATAGGGACCTCCTGCTGCAGGGATACGCAAAGACAAGGGTTGGATGCTGAACTGTGCCTTGGAATGCTCCTCCCTAGGATGTCTTCCTGGTCCTACCAACTGCTAGCAGGGAAGCCTTTTCCTGGGAGCCTTCACCATGGCCTCATTGGGTGTCTCCCCATGCTGGTTTCCTGTGTCTCATCTGCCATCCCCTGCTTTGGCCCCAGGATCTTTCACATAGATTTCTTCATCCCTGATGCAGCCTCACAAGGCTGGCCTGTGCCATGGTTCTTGGGTGCCTACCTTCATCTGGCCCTCGTGACTGTCACCGCCTCCTGCTTGCTTATTTTTGCCTTGGTCAGAATTTCATTCACCGGGAAGCTCATCACATTATCTGCTGGTTCCTGAACATCTCTCCATCGGGGCCTCCTTTTAAATGATGTTCTCTGTAGGAAGCGGATGGCGGGTTGCTTCCTACCCTCTCCTGGACAGGAAGGCCTAGTGGGGAGCGCCTGGTGAACCTGTAGGTGTCCCCACCGACTGTGTGCTTGTTGGCTGAGGAGATTAAGGAATACAGACAGGGGTGTCTTCGAGATGTCTGATGAGCAGGGCGATGGGAAGGAGAAGATTGGAGAGTGGGAGCAGCTCATGAGCCTGCTGGGAATCAGCTCCACCAAGAGTAAGTTGACCTGCTTGGGCAAGGATGTGGACAGAGGCAGTAAGTCATGGCTGGCAGGGTGTGTGGGTGTGGCTGCAGTCTTGGGCCCTGGTTATCGGTGCGTGTGGGTGGGGGAGAGAAGCAGCTAGATTCCTGGACCTGTAAAATCGTTTGCGGACAAAGGGTTCTTTAACTGCTGTGGCTTCCTGGTGCTGATGGCGATTTACTATGAGAAAGCCCACAACCAGGAGGGCAAGCTAATGGCAGCTTTGACAAGGACAGCAGGGACTTCATAGACTGAACCATATACTCAAAGGAGGGTTTTGGGCCTAGGGGTTGGTGTGGTGCTTGAGTGAGTGGGGAGTTCATAAAGACGCCGTGGTGGCTGAGTGTGAGACCTTGGCAGATATGTACCAGTGAATGTGTGTGAGACCCTCAGTAAGGTGGAGACTGAGCCAAGGGAGACTGACGAGGGTGGGGATGGAACTGTTGACTATGAAGGTGAGGAATAGAGGAGCCTGGGAACCAACTCTCAGGGTGGGAGAAGGCTGCTAACCTGTCCGTCTACCCTCAGCGTTTACAGCCAGATGGCAGGAGAGTACTTCAGGTTGGCCCAGTAATTTAGCTGCTGTGACTGTGGATGTCAGCCCAGGGAATCCGTTGCCCACTGTCACCCTCCCTGCCCATGGCTCTGCATCAAATGAATGTTCCATCCAGACTCTGCTGCTTTTCACTGTGCTAAAGATATTTGGGGCAGTTCTGGACACACAATTCAGACCATTTCTCTCTGACCTTGGCCTTTCCCACTGTCCAGATCTGGGCTCTGAACACCAGCAGGAAGAGTATATAAATGGACCCCTCACCCCCCTGACGCCACTAGTCCTGTCTGCCTACACTGGGGTGGCTACCTAAGTCTTCCTGGAGACCCTGGGAGGGGGCACTAGAGCTCTTTCCATAAAGGCAGAGACCATGTTCACATAAACTTTATTCTCTTTCAGAGGACTGACTTGCCAGTGGGGGGCTTGAGCTCTCAAGGTTCAGGCCCCTCTGGGCTGAGGGTCTGCTGGACCCCAGATGGGTGAGAGGGGTAAGGAGGAGGAGGGGCCAATACAGGGCAGGCTGGCTGGCCGGGCATTGCATAGCAATAAGGCCGAGTCTGCAGCAATGTGCTGGATGGCTGGCCTTCCCAGGGGAAGGATGGCACAGGTTGGGGGGTCCTTGGTTCTAAGTGCCAGAATCCAGGCTGTGATTTAATGGCTCCAGAAGAAAGAACTCCTACCCTTTTCAAAGGGGGGGGCACAACTAGGGCTGCTGGGCACTGGGGCCTGGCTCTTGGGGCCCTGGAGAAGTCTCTGACCCCAAGACCTCAGGCAGAGAGTTGGGTTTCTGGGAGCGAGTCACTGCTTCTTCTCTGGTTTTCGTCATCTTCACAGCCTCCTCATAGGAGGGTGGCAGCTCAGAGGCACACAGGCTGTAGGTGGGAGGGACCATGGATTCAGGGTCTGGCTCCCCAAAGGACAGAGGCAACCACATGCCCAGTGGGTACTGCACAGAGCTGTAGGCTGCAGGGAACAAGAGTGGGGTTTGTGGCGACGGCTCGGCATTCACACCAGTGCCCACCGCCCCCTCGTTAGCTAGTGGGTCTCCAGACACTCACAGGTCACGGTGCTGTGTGTGGGGCTGTCACTGTCCACAGGGGCGGCTGTCAGGTCGCAGGGCTGCCATGCTGGTGGCATATGTGTCTGGGTGTGTGGCTGCTTCCTGAGGCAGCAGAACCGTACACAACTGGCAGTGACCCCACACAGAAGCATCAGGAGTATGGCAAGCAGGATAAGCCTGGCAGAGAAGAGTAAGGATCTATTGCACACCTGCGCCCTGGGGCCAGTCATGCCCAACCACCCAAGACAGGACGACAAGGCAGGTGAAAAGAGAGCAAGGGATGTCTCTCCATGCCAGAAACTTCTTTGACTGGATCCAGGCCTGAGGAGCAGCCTGCCCTGGCTGGCTATCTAGGGCTGGCCAGAGATGTCCTTGGGTCTATTCCCAGGACACACTGTCCCCAACCAACTGCACAATCCTTGTGCCTTCTGCCGACTATAATCAGGTCTTGCTTCCAAGGCTGACTGGGGCTTAAGAGCTCAGTGTCCAGGGAGTTGGGGGCAGTAGATGGAAGGGGTTTTTGGCCGGCCTAAGTCTAGGCCTACCTTCAGAGGAACCGTCGGACCAAAGGTTTGGCACCTCGGCTTCCACTTACCCCACATACCATAGGCTGCTCCAGCGGGCCTGGGGCGGGCACCTGCGGGGACAGCGGCACCTGGAGCAGGTGGGGGCTAGCTCACTCCACCGCTCCAGCCTTTCCCAGGGCACCAGTCAGGCTCTGCCTCTCCAAGCCCTCTCCCGCCCTCCTACCCCCACCCTCGCGGTCCCCAGCTACTTACTGGTCCGAGAGGTCACAGTTGCCGTCCGCAGAACCCAGCGTCACCTGTGGGGATAAGGGTGAGCCTGAGCGGGGCGGGGCCGAGCTCAGGGCCGCCCCACTTGCCATACACCCGCCGCAGGCGCGGCCCAACCCACCTGCGACAGCGGCAGGAGAGGCAACAGCAGCAAGAGCCCTTGTGTGACTGGCGGCCCAGGGGCCATGTTCCGCAGACACAGCGGAGCTCCGTCCAGCGTCCGCTCAGCTTTATGAGGCCCCGCCCCTGGGGCTTGTCAGCTGAAGGTCCAGGATCACGCCCACCTTGGTATGCTTCCCTACTTGCTCCCTGCCCTTCATTTTTCTGTCCCTAGGGGTTATCATCTCGGTTTGAAAGAGCGCGCACGCGCGCGCGTGTACACACACAAACACACACACACACACAACACACACAACACACACACACACACACACACACACACACACACACACCCCTGCCTCCAAGGACCAAGATCCTCGGGTGAGCCCTAGGAGGGGATAGAGACTGACATCTCTCACCCAGCCATCCCCGCTCACAAACCAAGTCTCCTGAAACTTGTGGGCCGCACTGGGTTGTGACCTCTCAGGACAAGTAGAATCCACACTCATACTCCATGACCCTCTAGGTAAGAGGGGTGGGGCTTACACTGTTAATAAGCTGGGGCTTTAGCCTTCCAAACCACCATTCAAGGACATTCGCTATGCATCCCCCATGTGGATACATTTGGGAGGAACGGTTGGTCCATTTGGCTTGGAGGCAGCGCCTGGCTCTGGGCTGTGGAGGTTCTGCAGACAGTGGCCGCTTCTTCCTGGAGGGTCTTATTAATCTGTCTCCCTCCAGGCTAGCTGCCCTGCCTGGCTGCTCTGCCTTCCACTGCTAGGGAACTAGTAGAACACTAGTGACCAGGTTGCAGGAGCGTTGTCAGCAGAGCCAGGCTGATTCAGGAAGGGCAGGCTCTGTCCACAGCTGTCCTGTGCACTTAGACCCTGTGCCTTGCCTCTCAAGGGCCCTGTCTGGCTGCCAGGATGATCAACTTGTCTCCTGCCTTGCTTCCATCCTTTGCTCTGCTTTTTGGCTGTGCTTGGTGCTGGAGGGCCAGCGCCAGAATAGGAAGAAAGTGGATGTCAAAAGTGTAGCCTGAAGCCCAGATCAGAGCCTGGGGTTCAGAAAAGAGAGGAGGGCCTGGGCAGGATAACCATGTCTGGGTTCAGAAGGAACTGGCTTTTCCTAGAGCATGTCCTCACGAATCCCAGACTGGTCCGGTGGACCTGCTTTTGCCACCCTTCAGACCTGGAAACATGTCAAGGGTTTGAGGCCATGAGTGGTCAGCTCCAGTCAGGGCAGCTGCTGTAAGGTCAATGTCTCTGGTTCACTTAGGGGGCAATGTCAGGCTCCAAGGTGTCAAGGGCACTAAGGACAGCAGTGAGAGCAGTGTTCAGGAGAGCACTCAGATAGATGCCACCGGCCCCCATCACCCAGCCAGGCCTAGGAAGGCTGACAAGGCTTGTCCCCACTGGGTGGCCAAGTAGGTATGCTGCACTGATAGGAGGGCAGGCTGGACGGAAAGCAGCCACCAAGCCGTACTTCAGAGGGCAAGCGCTGGTGCAGTGTTGGAATAGGAGTAGAGCTGAGTGGGTTAGGGCCCAGAAAGCAAGATCCAGTCTTTTCAGACAAGTGCAAACTGAAGCCCACGAGCTGCCCCTGCCTCTTTGCACCTGGCCCACCCCTTGGTTGGGATCGTCTGGGTTCCTGGGACGTGGGGGGAGCTGAGAGACTTAAGTGACCATCTCTGGACTTTGGAACCTCTGGACCTCCTCCTACGCCTCCCTGCACCTTTCCGGGTCTGGACTAGACTCAACCCTGGCTCTGCACCCTCAGCACCCTGTACCGCATGCCGCTGCCCTTGGATTGTATAGATTCGGAGGGATCGTCTGGTATTTGAGTCAGGGTGAACCCCCTCTGGTTATCTGGCAAGATTTCTCCCTCTGGGAGGTTCTTTCTAGGCAGAACATTGCCTTATGGGTTGGGGTCTGCGTGGGGCAGTGTGGCTCAGGCTTTTCTCCAGACTCTCCTCCTGCCTTACTTTGTGTTTAGCCAGCTCCCCAACCCCCCCACCCCATCACTGCACACTTGTGTGTTGGTTCTTAGAGTTTATTGACAGGCCTGTGATATCTCCCGGGATCTCCAAAGCCTGAAGAGGTGCTGGGAGGTTTGGGATCCAGGGTTAGGGGTGGTGCATCTAGGAGTAGGCTGTGTGTGGTGAGTTGGATGGATTACTATTTCTTGGTTTGAGGTGGGCGGGGTCTTGGTTTGCTCCCAGGGTAGCAGGAAGTAGCCATGTCTGCAGGGCTGGGGAGCCCTGGCTCTGGGACTATTCATTAGAACCTGCCCAGCAGGGGATGCCCAGGTTCCGGGCCTAAGGGAATGTGTTGGCTTGACCCACAGCCTGGGAAGGGATTCAAGAGTGGATAGGAAAGTCCAAGAGGCTCTGTAGTTTCCTGTGACCTCAGACCCCAGCCACCACGTGGGCCACAAAGATGACTTTGTAGGTTTCCTTTACATCCCCCCGGAGCAGCAGCAGGGTTGACACCATGAGTGGATGGTCTGGCTGGAAGAAGAAGCTCCTTAGTAGGCTTTTCAGACAAAACATCTGCTCATCCCCCATGCTTCACCTACTTCAACACCCCCCTCCCTGCCCAGCCTGGGGTCCCAGCACCTACATCAAAGTCAGCAGGCGGTACCCAGGAGATGCTGATGGTTTTGGTCTGACCGCGCTCCACAGAACCCCTGCAAGGCTCGATGGAGAAGCCCTTGTGCTGAAGCCATGTAATACCGTCCAGGTTGAACTCCACAGTCTGTGAGGCATCGATACTACTGGAGGTTAGAGGGTCAGGAACTCTCGGGAGGCAGAAGGACTAGAGGGCTGGGGGTGCCCAGCTTTATCTAACCCTTCAACTTTGACCAGGGTTGCCACCCCACATCTGATGCAAAAATCTTACATAAGGTCAGGAGAGGTCAGGGAGGCCAACGAGGTTTCTGGGGCTTAACTCAAGCTAGGGTTGTAATCACCTTCCTTGGGGATGGCTGGGTAGTCCGGATACAGCCCACTTGCAGCTCTCGGGTGGCAGGTGTGGTTGGCATGTCTGTGTCAAACTGGACATAGTTCAAAGTCACCAGAATGGGCTTTATCTCCTCGGCTTCTGGGGGAGAGGGTGGAGATCTGGCTGAAAAGTGGCTAGATGGAGGATGTGGCCTGGGAGTGAGGAGAGCTGCCCAGGGTCAGGCAGCACCACGGAAGTGGAGGGTGAAGTTGGACCTCCCCCCAACCCCCAGAGCAATCGACTTGGTAGAGCTCATCCTTCTTGGTTCTGGGGCTGATGGACTGCAAATCTGCCCTTCCCCAATGGGCCTTAGTATGCCCACCTGCCGGCTTGGGGTGCGAGAGTATCCTCTCACTGCTCCCTGAGGTTACCCCTGCCTTCCCTTTCCCTGAGACAGAAATCACATGGTGGGGGCTCACCTTCTCTGTGTTCTGGGTCCAAGGTAGGGATCACTGCCAGGCTCTCCACAGGCACATCCAGTGGGTCTCCTCCCTCCACAAACATCATGTGCTCACGGGCAGCACCCTTCAGGAGGATCTGGTGGGAGACTTTCTGGAGACAAGAAACATAGCAGCCTGCCCTGCAGCTTGACAATTGGGGACCGAGGCTGGTTCAGGGGCGGGGCCGGGAAAGCCAGGGATGCTGATATCTGTCTGACATCCTCCAACACAGGGCGCCACATAATGAAAGTCTCCAGGGAGGGGCAGATGAGGGACACACAGGGACCCCTCCAAGAGTGGGGTGGGGCCCGTGGGGGCCCAGCTACGATCTCCACCTTTTCAAAGAGCACCACTTGGAGCAGGTCAGAGAAGTAGAGGCTCTCATGGTCTGGACTGAACGTGACAGTGAATTCTTGAGCCTTCCCAGGTAACATGAGTCCCTCGACCGGAACAACACTGAATACGCTCTGGCCATTGTGGTTCTGTGTGCCTGTGGGTAGGGCAGGGGTTATCATCAATGCTACCAGTCCTGCTCCACTGAGCTCATGCCCCTCTGCGTTCCCTTTTGCCCAGTCTCTGCATGATCTGCCTTGCCCTACTCCACCCTGCGTAGTGCCCTCATTCCCCAGCACATACCTCCTCGTGGTTCTGTGTCCCTGTGGCTCCTGGCAGTGTGTTAACTCACCAACAATTTCAGTCCTCTGCTCGTGGGAGGTAAGGAACTTTGGTAGCTGTTGCCGGGTCTCGGCTCTTTTTATGGAGAGGCTCTCCAGCCGCATCCAGAACTTAATGGGAAGCGAGGATTCATTCTGTAGCTACAAGAGCAAGATGTCACTCAACTAGCGTGCCCTGAGCTGCCCTACGCCTGTAGTCAGTGTCCCTGACTAGGTTGCCTGCTGCTGGATCACACTTGATGGGGTGGCCACATTATGCCCCCAAGCCCTTTCTCAGGGTATCACCAACAGTAACCACGGTAGCAGTGTTTGGGACTGTTGGTATTCAGTAACTCATCTCACATTGGCCTTTTCCGAGGCTGCCTGGCAGCATGCTTCCCTGCTGGCTCTCTGCCTGTGGGCTGTCTTTCAGAGCTCCTCTTTTTTTTTTTTTTTTTTTGGTTTTTTCGAGACAGGGTTTCTCTGTGGCTTTGGAGGCTGTCCTGGAACTTGCTTGGTAGTCCAGGCTGGTCTCGAACTTACAGAGATCCGCCTGCCTCTGCCTCCCGAGTGCTGGGATTAAAGGCGTGCGCCACCAACACCTGGCTTTTTTTTTTTTTTTTTTTTTTTTTAGCTGGGTACTTCCAAATGCAGAGTTCACTGGCTCCAAGAAATCCTTTTTCAGGAGAATGGGACAAAAGCTTAATTCACCTTAAAACTGGTCGAGACAGATTCTCTGGCAAGCACGTAGCCCATGTTGAAGACATTGCCGTCAATGGAGCATGTAATCATGGATGCCACGCCTGTGCCCGTGAGGGTGAGCGGGAGAGTCCCTCTCTTGGTGATGATGTCCAGTGTTTCTTGAGCCTAAGGAGATCATGTGCTTTAGCACAGAGCAGACATGGGGGCTCCACCTGTAGCAGCTGGCTTATCGATAGCACTGCGCTCCTGAGATAGCCGCCTGGGGATCTTTGCCTCCATGGACTTGTTGACAGAAGGACAGGCTGCTTTCAGGCTCCAGGTGATCATCTGGGCCTGAGAACATAGCGGTGTCTGCTTTTGGCCAGACTATGGTCCTGTGGTGTGGGGATCTCAGGGCAGCAGCATTGCCTCGGGGCCACACTCACCAGTATGCTCTCCTGGGGCGAGAAGGACAGCACCAGGGTTTGTGTCTCGCCAGAGCATATCTTGTTGGAGGGGTTTAGCAGAACGAAGGGGCCATTGGGGTTCAGCAGTGAGAACTCCAACTAAGGACTGAGCATCAAGGATGAAGATAATATTTTGCAGGCTCTGCCCTGCGCCCCACTCCCATCTCCACACCTGGAAGCTGACTCACTGAGCATAGATAAGGATACAGTAAGGTCCTCAGGAGAAATGTTCTGGAGGCTGATCTTCTTTATGCTTCGATGCCCTAAAATGTGGCAAAGAGTCAAGTCACAGACCCTAGACCCCAAGGGGCACCTATTTTTACAGAGAAGTCAGGGAGCAGATGGTAACTGGAGTGGTCTTGGTACCCAGGGTAGAAGATATGCTCTCAGGAGTGAGGGCTGTCAGTACAGAATGAAGACTTACCCACAGCAATATCACCGAAGCTAAGGACTGGTCTGCCTTTGTTGGATGTCACCACAATGGATGGAGCCACTGCTGGGCACCATAGCTCCAGATATAGAGTATTATGGGGACTAGAGGCAGGACAAGGACAAATAAGGGCAGATTAGGGTGACCCTGTGTCCCCCAGGCCTCAGAGCTGACAAGCAGTAGAGGTTATGGCTGATCACACCCCATCCTGTCTCAAGGACCACACACCTGAAGCTCAGAGGTTCCAATGCCTTCCTGTCTTTGATGTCACCACTGGCAACGACACAGGGGACCACAAATCTGTAAAACTTCCCCTGGAAGGCTCTGGCCAAGGTTGCTTGTGCAGCTTGGTATTCACTGGAACTGGAATGAAGCCAACAGAGGACATTCATGCGTATTCCTCTAGGGCTCTGGGCTCAGGTGGACTCTCTGGGGAAGGTGAAAGCATTAAGAGGCAGAGCTCAGAGCCACCATGGGTTCTGTCTGACAGACTGACTTTCCCACCCTCCTCTGCCTCCTGCAGTGACCTTCCTCCCCACTGCAGACGCTGGTCATCCACAGACAGGGAGTAAAGGTCTTTGTCACTACAGAGCCATATTCCTGGGTCCACAGGGGCAAGCCCTGGGCTGGAAAGTGGCCCAACCCATCAGAGCTTTCTTGGGCTCATTTGTTCATTGGGGAGGCTGGAGTCAGACCATGGAGTAATCTGTTCAGAGGGATACCAGGCTCACGGTAATAACTAAGGAGCAGATGCCTCGTTGGGTCCAACTATTTCTGAAGCCAGTCGGTCTTGGACCTGCAGACACACAAGCCAGTGAGGCTGTGCTCCAGGGAATGTGTGGGAAAACCTCTACTGAGCAGGGTGGGCTTCATCGGATCAGGGGAGGCCTGATGAGATGCAGATTGATTGGGAAGATCCCTTCATCCTACCTAGCTGTGACTTCCTGCCTCTGCAGCTCTGTAGAATGGAGAGTGGAGGCCCGGGTCAGTCGGTCCCGGTTGTGAGTCCGCATCACAGGCATAGACTGTTTCCACATTTCCTTCCTTTGGGCTGTTTCCTTTCGGAACTATAAGCACAAGCAGATGTTCAGAAGCCACCACAGAGGCTCAGTCCTCTGCATGGCAGGTGTTACACTGCACCCCTGCCCCAGGCTCTAAACACCTCACTCACCTGTTTGCTCTCCATTTCCTTGTTCAGGATCTGAGCGGCTTCCCCGAGGATCATCTCACGTGGCAGTACAGGTTGGAAGGCCACTTGGATCAGACACCTCTGCGGAGAGAGACACTAGGACTGCCAACCCCACCCCCTCCCACCCCATCCCCACCAGAAGCTCAGAGGGCAAAGGTGGCCCTGGTGGTTCTCCCTCCTCCCACGGTGGCCTGTGCTATATTTCTACTGCCACCTCTCTCTCTCTCTCTCTCTCTCTCTCTCTCTCTTTCTCTCTCTCTGAAGCCAGTCGGTCTTGGACCTGCAGACACACAAGCCAGTGAGGCTGTGCTCCAGGGAATGTCTCTCTCTCTCTCTCTCTCTCTCTCTTTCTGTCTCCTTCCTTCCCTCCCCTCTCTCTCCTTCCTTCCTTCCTTCCCTCCCTCCCTCCCCTCCCTCCTTCTCCCTTTCCCTCTCTCTCTCCCTCTCCCTTTCCCTCTCTCTCTCCCTCTCCCTTTCCCTCTTTCTCTCCTTCTCCCTCCCTCCCTCCCTCCCTCCCTCTCTCTCTCTCTCTCTCTCTCTCTCTCTCTCTCTCTCTCTCTCTCTCTCTCTCTCTCTCCCTCTCTCTCTCTCCCTCTCCCTCTCTCTCTGGGGTTTTTCAAGATAGAGTCTCCCTGTGAAGCCCTGGCCGTCCTAGCACTCTCTCTGTAGACCAGGCTAACCTTGAACTCACAGAGATCTGTTTGCCTTTGCCTCTCAAAAGGCATGTGCCACCAAGATTGACTGAGTTTCTCTTAAAGTTGCTTTTTTTTTTTTTTTTACATTTTAACCTAGATATTCCCTTCCAGGAAGGCTCTCCCTGATCACTGCTCTAGGAAGCTGGGGTGGACTTCAGGCCAGGTATGTTGGGGGTCTGTTAACTGGAGGTGCTGAGAGCAGGGTTCTGAATGGGTCAGAACCTCACCAGACTAGAGTAAGAAATGAACCTGGGAACACGGAGCCCTTCCCCATCTGCAGCAAGTCCCCATGGGACATCTCTCAGGAAAGATTCCATGGTGACTTGCTGACCAGGACAGGGGTGGGGGTGGGGGGGAGAAGTGCGGGGGACAGGGGGTGAAATGATGGTTAAGAAGAGGAAGAAAGGACAGAGGAGGAAAAGAGCGAACGGGGAAGGGAGAGGGGAGAAAAAGGGAGAGAAGACAGAGAAAAGGGAGAGTTGAAGGAAAATAGAACCACGCACTGACATAACTCAGTGAGAGATGAGAATCAGTAGCATGGACTGGATCAACTGCCTCGCAGAGCTCTCAGCCTCTCTGCTCAGGTGAGGCCAAGGGCACCGTGTCTGCCTCCCGCTGCTCACTTCCAGGGCTCATACCCTTGGCCTAGTTCTGGTTCAGTACCTGTGGCTAAGGTGTGCCAAGCCAGGTACCCTGGAGAGTGGCCTGGAAGCCCCACCCCGGAAGCCCCATCCCCTCCTAGCCTGTCAGTGGGGCCCACGCTCACCTTTCCTGGTAACACAGTCCCCACAGATGGTGAGATAGTGATGGGCAAATTAGGGGGCAGCAAGAACTCAAAGGATGTTGGTCCCACTGGGGCGGCTTCCTCTGACCCGATTCGAGGCAAGGAGTGGATCAATTTGTTCATGCTCAGGTGAGAATTGATGACATACAGCGTGGACACGGTGGTGCCATACAGGGCCGTGGCTGAGAACTTGATCTGGTAGTGGGACAGCTCTAGGGGTGGGTGGACACCTATTGCTTGGCAAGACAGCTTGAAGCACCTGAAAACAGCCAGTGAGGGTGGCGTTCATTTTATGCCATGGCATCCGTGGCCTCTCAAGAACCCTGAGTGGAGGAGACGCAGCTCCCCACATGCCAACAGTGATGGACAGGTCTGTTGAGCTGATGATGCCCCAGGTACCCAAGACTTATTCCCGCAATCATCACAGTTGTCTACAACCTGGTTAACCAATGTGGGGGAAATGCATAAACAAGATTATATAAACAAAGTAAAAAACTTGTAAGTTGCTTTAAAAACGAGGGTTGCAGGGCTAAGAGTGGTTTGGAGCAGCGGTTCTCAACCCTCCTAATGCAGCGGCCCTTTAATACAGTTCCTCATGTTGTGGTGACCCCCAACCATAAAATTATTTTCACTGCTACTTCATAACTGTGATTTTGCTACTGTTATGGATTGTAATATAAACATTTTGTATGCAATCTCTCCCCAAAGGAATCTCGACCCCACAGATTGAGACCCACTATCTTAGAGGTTAAGAGCACTGGCTGTTCTTGCTGATGACCCAGATTCAGTTCTAAGCATCCACATGGGGCCTTAAACCACCTGTAACTTCAGTTCAAGGGGAGCAAAGTCCTCTTTCGACCTCTGTAGGCACCTGTATGTACATAGTGCATATTCAAACAAGCAAGCAACCCATATACATGCAAATAAATCATGTTTTGTGTTTTTTGAGACAGGGTTTCTCTGTGTAACAGCCCTGGCTATCCTGGAACTTGCCTTGTAAACCAGACTGGCTTTGAACCAGGAGAGCCGCCTGCCTTTGCCTCCCATGTGCTGGGATTAAAGTCATGTGCCACCACTGCTTGGCTAAAAATAAACATTTTTAAGAAAAGAAAAATGTAGTAAAAGGGGTTGATTTCTGGCCTATTGCATTAAATATTTATTGGCCTTTGATATTTATTTACCCTCCTTTCCCCACCTCCTGAGTGCTGGAATATCAGGCGTGTTTCACCAAGTCTTATTTATGGGGTGATGGGTATTGAGTTTTAATTCTAGCCCCAGGTAGTTGGTGATTTTAACCCCTGAAAGCTTTACATTCTACGCTTTCCCTGAACTCCTATGTTCCCTAGGCTCTCCTCATCAACTCTCCTCATCAACTTTTATCTTTTCTTTTTCCTGTGCTGAGGATTGAATCTAAGTCCTCTTGCCTGCTAGGAAAGAGCTCCGTTGTTCAGTTTCACGCTGCGCTCATTACATGTATTGCTTTAAGGGTTTATCTGCTGTGGAATAATCCTCTGTACACTGTGGATATGTATTACTCTCATTGGTTAATGATGAACTGACTGGCTGGCAGCCGGGCAGGAAGTGTAGGTGGGACAACAAACTAAGGATGCTGGGATGAGGAAGAGCAGAGTCAGTGGAGTCACCAGGAGACACAGAGGGAGCCAAGACATGCTGGAGGCCAGGTAAAGCCACGAGTCATGCAGCAATACGTGGATTAATAGGAATGGGTCAATCTAAGTTGTAAGAGTTAGTTAGTAATACGCCTGGGCTATTGGCTGAACATTTATAATTAATATTAAGCCTCAATCTGTTTGTGGGTGGGAAGAAACATCCACCTACATTTATTTATGTATTTATTTATTTATTTATTTATTGGGACAGGGTTTCTCTGTGTAGCCCTGGCTATCCTGGAACTCACTATGTAGACAAGGCTGCCCTTGAACCCACAGATCCGCCTGCCTCTGCACCCCAAGTCCTGGGATTAAAGGAGTGCTCCGCCACTGCATGTCTTCAAAGGTTTATTTTAAGTTTATGTGAGTGGGCATTTTGCCTGTGTGTCTGTGCACCACATGACTACAGTGTATCCAGCGTCCAAAGATGGCATAAAATTCCCTGGGATTGGGGTTGTAGACCGTTGTTTGCCACCATTTGGGTGCTAGAAATTGAGCCCTGGTCCTCTGGAGGAGCAGCCAGTGCTGTTAACTGCTGAGCTACCTCTCCAGCCCCATTACGTGTATTTTAATGCTTTAGACAAGGACATGGCTGATCCTATCAAATCTCACCTATAACAAAAAATGTGTTCAGGGGCTGGGGAGATGGCTCACTTGGTAATACCAACACTTGTCTTATAAGTACACTGACTCAACTTCAGTCCTGAGAACACACGTAAAAATCTGGGCACAGAGGCATATACCTACAATCCCCGCAGGTGTGAGATGCGAGGGGGAAACAACTCTTCAGAAGTTTGCTAGAGAGCTACCCTGGCCTGCTTGGCAAAGTTCCCAGCCTGTGAGCAACCTTGTCATAAAGAGATAGTGGAAGATGCCTGAGGAACAACACACACAGATCTCTGACTTCCACAGGTGCACACGCACATGCATGCCCACACAGACGCCCAATTGTGCATACAATCCCACCCCCACACACAGACACACTATGTTCAGATGTTCAAATATTCAAACATGTAAGTTAATGTTTTGGGGGTAGATGGATCATTATTAATATTTAGTTGAATGAACGCATAAATGTAACACGAATTCTAATTGGTCTTAACAATAAAAACTTGCAGTCAGACATTGAAGGGAGTGGGAGCTGAAAGATCAGAGAAGCAACCGGCCACTAGCTCCTACCTCTACCTCAGACCAAAGGGGCAATCCTGTCCTCAGACTGCCTTCTCAGACTGCATCTTCAGGCTGCCCAGACTGCCATGAGCTCCTGTCTCCTGCTTATAGTCCTCTCTCTGCTCAGCCATATGCCTTCCTGCCTCCACCTCCTTAGTGATGGGATCACCTTTGTGTGAGCTCTGTTTCCCTTGTAGACTTGATCGGTTTCATGTGTCCCAGGGTGGCCTGAACTATCAGATATCTGTCTGCTTCTGTCTCCCGAGTGCTGGGATTAAAGGTGTGCACCATCACGGCCTGGCCTCTGTGGCTAACTTGTGTGGCTAGCTTTGCACTCTGATCTTCTGGCAAGCTTTATTTGTTAGGTCATAAACAAAATATCACCACACATAGAGTATGACGATGACTAAATATAAAATGTAAAATTTCCTGAAATCTTTTCTTCTTATAAAGCCCAGGCTGGCCTGTAGCTCACTATATAGCCCTTGATGACCTCAAACTTGATCCTTCTGCCTCAGTTTCCTGAATGCTGCCATACCATACAGGCCTGTGCCACTACCTAAGTTAAAAGCTCTCTCTTCGGTTTGTGTGTGTATGATGCATGCATATGTGTGTACATATGATACATGTGTATGTATTGTGTAAGTGTGTGCTTACATGTGCTAACAGTGCAAGCAAGGGTAGAGGTCAGAGGGCAATTTTGGAAGTTGGTTCTTACCTTCTGCCTTGTTTTGAGGTACCATCTCTCTTTTTCATTTAAATTTTTTCCTTTATATTTATCTAGCGTGTTTGTATATGTGTGGCATGCATGTGTGTGGAGGTCTGAGGACAAATTGTGAATACCAGCTCTCTCCTTCTATCAGATTGCCAGGCGTGGTGATCCATTTTACCAGCCCAGAGGTCTCCCTGGTTTTGTTGTTGTTGTTCACTGCTGCATTTTGGGACAGCTGGCCCTTGAGTTTTCTACCTTCCAGTTTGTCACAAGAGCACTGTGTCCCAGATGCGTGTTACTGTGCTTTGTGTGGGTTCTAGGGATTCACACTCAGATCCTACCCTTCCGCAGCAAGTACTTTACCTGCCGAGTCATCCCCACAGCTCTCAACCCCTTTTTGTTTTGTTTTTGAGACAGGGTCTCACTGTGTAGCTTTGGCTGGCCAGGAATTTACTATATAGACCAGGATGGCTTCAAACTTACAGATATCTGCCCGCTGGGATTAAAGGCATGATCCCCCCCCGTACCTGGCTCAAATCTTGAAATTAGAAACGTGTGTGTACACTTGTGCACATGCTCAGTTGTATAAGTTTATGTGTACCGTGTGTGTGCAGGAGACCAAGGATGCCAGAGAAGGCATGATTGCCTGGAATTGGAGTTACAGATGGTTGTGAGCCACCATGTGGGTGCTGGGAACTGAGCTGATGTCCTCTGCAAGCACAGTAAGTGCTTTCACTGCTGAGCCATCTCTCTCATTCTAAGAAGGGGGTTTTGTTTGTTTGTTTTTATTTGTTTTGGGTTTCTGAGACAGGTTTCATGGGGCCCAAGCTGGCCTCAACCACATTACATGGCCAGATAACTTCCACTCTTACTCTGCAGCCTCTAACGCCCACGTGATGGTATTGCAGGCACTTACGCCTCACCTGTCTCTTGTGATGCTTGGGGATCAAATTCAGGCCTTTAAGCATGGGGGGCAGCACTCTACCAATTGAGCTAAGCCCAAGATACCAACTGGCAAAGGCAAACGCACTGGAATAACACGACCTCCCAACAGAAACCCAGGAAGGCAGGGAATGACAATATTTCAAGCCTGGACAGTGAATCGTGTACATGAATACTTACACCAAGATACTTTGCACAGTGTGCTGACACGCCTGCAGATGCTCATGCTCACAATACTCACGCTCGTCAACTCGTGATTTCCTTATCTCCTCACATACAAGGGCAAGCGAGGCCAAAGTGGAAGGTCACGTGGACCTAAAACCTACCTATTCCTGGGTCTTGGGCTCCTGTTTACCACCAGGGCTTCCGCCCCATCCCTGAGGTCAGACTGGTGGGAATCTGAGGAAAGTACAGCACCGAGGTCACGCGTCTTCTCTGCCTAGCAGGCTTACCGGTTTATTTCGGATTTGCAGATCAGTTCAAATCTGTAGTCCTTGGCCTTCATGGGCCGGAAGATCACATCAAGTTGCAAGGTTTCCAGTGGCATGATCATTCCAAACCCATCATTGGGCTGAATGTCCACATACTGGGAAAGAGGGACAGAGTCAAAGTGAACACCACTTTGTAGAGTAGCTGGTAGGAAACTGTGTACCCTGTATGGGGAAGTGATATGTAAACATGCCAGTTTGAGAGCACACACGGAGGGTCTGAGAGTATGAGGGATGTGTGTGAGCGTGTGTGGGCACTCAACCTTACTAAGTATGAGGGTGTGTAAGTGGGATGTGCGGGGGGGTGGATAGGGACAGCCTAGGAAGGGCTGACAGCAGTCAGGCCTGGGCATACATACTCTTAGATTGTCCTATGGGGCTTGTCCAGGGGACTCGGGTAGGGAGAGAGTCTGGAAATTTTAGGTGTACCTTATAGTCAGAAAAATGAGAGGCCAGGAAGGGGGCATCAAGGACAAGGAGAGGGTCAACTGGGTGGGGTACAGGGCAGCACAGTTGCTGATGCCTGGGCCTGGAAAGCAGCTGTTATTCCTGCCCCACGTCCCCAGGGATGACCACAGCAGGTACCTTTGGAAGCCCGACGAACCCAAACTCCTGCGGCAGCAGGGAGAGGTTGCTGAGGCTGATCTCTGTCCTGATAGCCTCATAGATGGTACAGAAGCCAAAGTTTATCTCTACGGGGCTGATTTCCAAGTCCGAGGTGGTGACAACGGCTTGGACAGTGAACCCCACTGGTTTGATCTAAGGTGCAAAAGGCAAAGAACATTCCCAGCCACTGGAAGATTTCTGCAAAAGCCCCCAAATAATAGAAGGCGGTTCTGCGGCCTTGCGGCCAACACCACACTATTCCCATAACACGAGTTTCTCAACCAGACCATTGCGTAGTGTCTCCTAGTGAAGGAGCAGCACCCAAGCCACAATTCCATGGTAGAAGTTAGAGAGGGCATGCAGGCAGAAGTCTAAAGCATCAGTCAGATGTGGCAATGTGGCATGTGACTGTGTGGATATACTATTAATAAGCACATACATATGTGGACCCATGTAGACAGACGAGGATATAATACACATATCTATGTGTGTATGTGGTGCCTTCATCTGTGTATCTGTGTTCAACTGTGTAGGCATATTTCTTTTTTAATAATTTATTTGTATTTTATGTACATTGGTGTTTGAGGGTGTCAGATCCCCTGTAACAGGAGTTATAGATAGGTGTGAGCGTCCACGTGGGTGCCGGGAATTGAACCTGGGCCCTCTGGAAGAGCAGCCATTGCTCTTAACCTCTAAGCCATCTCTCCAGGCCCATCTCTTGTGTGCATGTATGTGTGGGTGAAGTATCGGAGCCAGCCTGCTTGGACCAGAGTATGAAGTTTCTTTCTGGCTCACAAGTGCCTCCTTTCTTTCATACTATGTCAGGGTTGTATGGATAGGAGGCAAAACTGCCTGTGTCAGGCCACTGGATAGCACCAGCTGGAAAGTGACATGGGTTCTGAAATTAGGGTTCTACCTCTTTAGGTCTTGTCATTGGGGATACAGGGTTTGGCCTCCCACAGCAGCCACCTGTTCCCTAGCAGTGCCTAGCACTCACTCCCAGAAAGTGTCCTGTACAGACCTGGTCAGCCACCCAGATTGTCATCGGAGCCTCCAGAACACGACTGTCCGGGTCAAAATACTTCCCTGCATCTTCTGGGAGGGAGTGTCTGCAAGAGGTAGGATCCACTTGAATATATTTTTCTCCTTTAAATTTTGTGCAATAAAACTGTTCTAAAATTGAAGGGCAAGTATGAATGAGAACATGGAATAATGACACATGTATGAATATGACATAAGGAAACCCATTGCTCTGTATACTAACTTTAATAAGTAAATGTCCTGCAATTAAATGGCCCACTAAATCAACTAATCAGGGCTCACAAGGGCTCACAGAGACTGAAACCAGCAAGCACAGGGCCTACACAAGTCTGTACCAGATCCTCTGTGTATATGTTATGGCTGATGGCTTGGTGTTCTTGTGGGACTCCTAACAGCAGGAGCTGGCGTATCCCTGACTCTTTGCCTGCTCTTGAGACTCTTTTTCTCCTATTGGGTTTGTTAGGAATAAAGCATGTGGAGACCCTTGGCGGGTTCCGTGGCAGGCAAGAGTGAACAAGGCGGAGGGACAAACATGCCAGGCAGACAGAGCTTAAGTGAGAAGTTTTATTAGAAAGGGAAGGGAGGGAGAAGGAAAGAGAAAAGATGTAAAGAGACACAGAGACAGAGAGAGGACAGAAGAGAAGAAGGAGGCAGGGAAAGTCCTATCTGCCCTAGGGGAACAGTGGGAAAGAGAGAAGAGAGCAAAAGTGGGCAGGAGTCTTTCCTTTAAAGGGGTCCTTTGCATTGCCAAGCGTTGGTGGCTCACACCTTTAATCCCAGTACTCGGAGGCAGAGGCAGGTGGATCTCTGTGAGTTCGAGGCCAGCCTGGTCTACTGAGCGAGTTCCAGGACAGCCTCCAAAACAATACAGAGAAACCCTGTCACCCTGTCTCAAAAAAAAAAAAGTTCACTTATGTTGTGTTGGGTAGTATGCACCTACAATAGGCCAAAAGATCATAAGGTAGGTCAGGCTGGGCTATACAGTTATGACTCTGTCTCAAAAAAGTTTATTCTTTGATTACAATGAGTGGCTGGGCAGTGGTGGTGCACACCTTTATTCCCAGCACTTAAGAGGCAGAGGCAGGTGGATCTTTGTGAGTTAGAGGTCAGCCTGTTCTTCAAAGAGAGTTCCAGGACAGTCTCCAAACCTACAAAGAAAAACAAACAAACAAACAAACAAACAAACAAACAAAAAACCAAAAAACAAAGAATGCTGGGATGTGGTCGGGAGGCAGAAGCAGGCAGATCTCTGTGAGTTCAATGCCACCCTGGGCTACAGAGCAAGTTCTAGGACAGCTAGACCTGCTACACAGAGAAACCCTATATCAAAAACAAATGGAAATAAAAAGAAAAAAGAATTAGTATCATTTTAGAAATATGTTTTTAAAAGTACAAAGGATAGAGTTCCCCGTTACCATGATGGGGAATTCATCATGAAAGACCTAGAAGCAGTCAGGTTTTAAAACCACCTCGTCCCCAGCCTACTACACCTACTTTTCTGGTCCAAACTCTGTTGACAGCCCAGGATCTAGACCTTAGCTTGGAAAATAGGCCCCATAGCAGGAACCAAGCGTTACTTAGGGTAGGGCAACCGAGCAGCTGAAGTGAAAATCAGGACTTTTGGCTGCCAAAGCACCAGAAAAGCTGAAGTGGATTATTCGAAGTCTATCCCAGGAAAGGCAGAAGCCGAAGAACACACCAAAACAGTCTGCAACACCTGCTGTGCAGGCACCCCTTCCCGCCAAGGGCGAGACCCAAGAGGGGCTTTGGAATGAGCAGGATACAGGGAGAACTGAGTGACAGGCACACCTTATAGAGCTGTGGGATAAAGATAAAGAAACAAGCTTCCTTCAAGAGTTTGCTACAACCTGACACAGAACCTCAGGGAGCGGCAGGAAGAGATATGACCATCTTACAAGAGTGTCTGAACAGAAGCCAAGGTGGGGCCCGTACATGGAGGGTCAGGGTGTTCTTACCTTGGCAGGTGGTACCTCCTGGATGTGCGTGTGGTCCAGCGGGGTGATCAGCGCAAGGCGCCCAGGGGTCCCACCACCTCCCGTCGTGCTCCAGGCCTCCCCCAGTTCTCACCTAGGCAGGAACTTGAGCTGTATTGAGTAAGTGGACTGGGCCTGGATGTAGCCCGTCTCTGGCAGAAGCTCTATGTGGCCTCTCAGTTCCTTGCAGACTTCAAACTTAAGGCGCAGGGCTGCTTTTGATCTGCAAGAGGTCATAGGTGGCTTTGCATGCTTAATCCTTTGACCCATTAAGGTCTTTCTAATGATAGAGCCAGTGTGCCTGGAACTTGCAATCTAGACCAGGCTGGCCTCAAACTCTCAGAGATCCTCTTGCCTCTGCCTCCAAATTACTGGGATTTTAAAGACGCTTGCAACATGATACCTGGCTTTAGTGCATTAAAAAAAATAAATTATTACTGTTGTCTATGAATGCATGGTGTGTGTGTGCACGCGCGCGCACGCGTGTGCACAGTCACGATGCACGTGAGTATTTTGCATGTGTGGAGGCTAGAGGACATGTGTGGAGAACTTTGCAGAATTGTTTCTCACCTATGTTTTTGTGGGTTCTGGGAATTTTTGAATTCAGGTTCAGGCTTTAACAGCAAGTGACTTTCTGCTGGCCCTGATTTTTTTTTTAAAAGACAGGGTCTCACTATATAGCTCTGGCTGAACTATAGAACTCACAATTGCCCTGCCTCAGCCTCCTAAGTGCTGAGTTCATAGACATATACAACACACACAGCTTGGAAAATTCTTAAAATAAAAACAATAGAAATTTGAGTTGAGATGTGCCCAAATCAGTTCTCAGAGCCTAGAGAGTGTTATGGGAAGAAGTAATGCAGGCAGCTACTGAGTGTGGGGAGGCAGGAAGGGTGTTAAGGATGGCTTCCCCCTATGGGGTCTGGCTTCTTTGCACTCAGCATTCTTTACAGGAAGTTTGGGAGGCCCTGGATGGCTAGGTGTTAGCCACTGACACAAGTTTATAACTCAGAACCAGGCGGAGGAAGAATAGACATGTCTGTGTCCTGTTATCAGGGCCCACCCATGTCTCCTAAAAGAGGTTCTCCTCTCCCTTTCCTGAAACGAGGTACCTGCCAAAGGCAGCGTCATCCTCCCCTGTTTTTTTTGGTTTTTACGAGACAGGGTTTCTCTGTATTGTTTTGGAGGCTGTCGGTCCAGCCCGGCCTCGAACTCACAGAGATCCGCCTGCCTGGCAGCGTACCCTTCTAAGGCAGTCCTGGAGGACAGTCCTGGCTTGCTGCTTGTGGGAGTCTCCTTTTGTTCCCATAGGAAGAATTATTTCTTAACCAAAGGAAGAAAAGGTAACCTGGAGAGGGAGGCCCAGGGAACTCTTCCCTGGTTTGCCTGGGGATCATTGGCAATAGTCCTAGAGCCTTCCAGAGCCTTCTAGTGCCTTCTACAAGGATTCTTGTCTGTTCTATGGCCATGGTCTTCTAGACCTCTGCTCAAATATGGCCCTGAGAGCTGGGTCCCCAGTGATCCAGAGATGGAGCGATAAAGTCATGCTGTGGACGCTGAAGGTTATGAGGGACACTGAGGGAAGTAGCCAGGTCTTCCGGCAGGGACCACAAGTGCATGGATACCGCTGGGAGTTCATAAGGGAGGACCAAGTACAGACAGAGGGAAAAGCCTCCCATCTTTCTCCTGCTCTTTGGATGATCACCAGAGCCCAGATGGTTACCAGAGTTATGGTGACCTCTGACCTGCCTCCAAGCCCCTACAGGGTGTATCCACCACTACAGCTGACCAGGACCCCGAGCTGCTGCTGCTCGGGATCCAGAACACCGTGGGAAGTAGCCGTTTGGGGTTCTTAGAGACGAGCCAGTCAGATCCACTGTACCCAGTGACTAACACTGGTTCCTGGGCACAAGACAACAAATTGTCTTCACAAATCATCACCTGTCTACATTCATGCAGGTAAAACCACACAAGGTTAAAAATGATACTGGGTTTAAAGATGACTAAACTCATTTATGCTGACAAATGGGTGCTTTGGGTATGAATGATAAAATTCCTTGACTCCTTTTGATTCCTTCCCTGATGACCAGGAAGCACTGAATACCTATCCACTCTCCCAAATAAGCACAACAAACCATTTCTCCAAGCGGCACACTCCTTCATTAGACAGGTTTCCCCTGGCGTGCAGTGCTCTTTGGTTCCCAGGGAGGAGTCTGGGGACATCTAGTAGCTGCCCCTCCATGGAGCAAGACAAAGCCTGGTGGAAACCATGTCATGGAGGGTTGTTCCCCCAGGTCATGTGTGATGCCTGACATGTGTGAAGGGCTAGCGACGGGGGTCTGATAGTCTGGGGACTAGTGGCTCAAAGCTGATGAAGTCATGAAACCTGCGATGCTCCTATCTCAATTTGTACTTCAAGGAAAATACTTGTAATCTAAACTCGGATGTCTTTGTAAAACAGTACAAATTAATATACTTTTTTGTTGGACTTTGTCTATTCTCCATGTTGTTGCTATGTCTCTTGAAGGCACTTGGACCCTTGTCTAGTGCCCCAGGCATACAGCAAGTGTGTCTGCTATGGGTGCTGTAATGTTTTCACAAACTCGGACCTGACAATTATAGAGCACTTCTCTGAGGACAAAAGGCCAAAGTGGGACTAACTAGACTGAAGGTCAGGATGTACAAAGGCCGGGTTCCTTGTGGAGATGGCAGGGGAAAATCCATTTCTCGCCCTTTTAGGTGTCTGGTGTTCCATAGCTGCAGTCCCTTCCTCTGTCTTCAGATCTGTCTCTGTCCTTGACTCTCCTGGGTTCCTCTACAATGCCTTGGCAACACTGGGGTCTCCTGGTTATTCAGGATCACTTTGTTAAAGATCCATAGGCTAATCAGCCGCCCAGTCCTCTGCCACCAAGGGGACCATTCAGAGCCAGTATGTAGTCAGCTCTAGGCATGACACTCCTGCTGGCCACCATAGGGCTCACCTCGTGTGGACAATAATAGAGTCTTGGTAGAGTCGGTCATACATGCAGATCTTCAGGTCCACAGTGGCCCTTGGCACCCAGACTGGCACATCTACAGCAATACCAGTGGCTCTGAAATATAACTGAAGTGGAACATGTAAATTCAGCATATGTTTACTTTGCAATGTAGGAGATACCAGTGAGTGGTTTTCTTTTTCTTTTTTTTCTTTTTTCTTTTTTTTTTACGAGATAGGGTTTCTCTGTATTGTTTTGGAGGCTATCGGTCCAGCCCGGCCTCGAACTCACAGAGATCTGCCTGCCTCTGCCTCCCGAGTGCTGGGATTAAAGGCGTGCGCCACCACCGCCCGGCGATACCAGTGAGTGTTAACACAGTACTTAGCGAAAGTTTCACGGTTTGATTTTTTTTTTAACTTACAGCATTACAAGTATGAGGTTAATAATTAATCATGACGTGTGTTGAAGAATCTTGTGATATTTTTCATATGATTATCCTATTCTGTAGGGTCCAGAGAATGACTAAGAGTCATACTTCTGGTTTTGAATGAGTTTATGAAGTGTATATATAGTAAGCTAAGGTAAAAGGCAGATTGATACATAGATAGATTGGTAATAAAACATTCTCAAATTTGGTGCTCAAAATACCCAGCTGATTTAGGGTGTGGTGGTGCACACCTTTAATCCCATCACTTGGGAGGCAGAGGCAAGCCGGTTTCTGTGAATTTGAGTTCCAACACAATCAGGGCTACAGAGGCCCTGTCCAGAGATGTTTAGCTGCGGAGGGAAGACCTACCCTGAATATAGCTGGGAATGACTGAGTCACAGAGGGAGATGGAGAAGCCAGCCAGGTACTAGCATTCATCCTGTTTTCTGACTGCAACGTGACCAGGTCCGTCACACATCTGCCACCTCACCTTCGCCAGCACCATGAAGTGCACCCTCAAACCAAGACAAAATAGTCCCTCCCTAAAGTTGCTTCTGGCAGGTATTTGGTAACAGTGATGATAAAAGCAACCCCTGTGGATACTGTGGGAACTACAGGAATTATGAATACTGTGATCACTGTGAAACTGTAGGTTCTTGAGTACTGTGCTGGGTTGTATTATATCAACTTAACACAAGCCAAAGTCATCTGAGAGGAGGAAGCCTCAATTAAGGAAATGTCTCCAGAATATCCACTGTAAGTAAGCCTGTAGGATACTTTACTTTTTCTTTTAATTAATTTGTCAGTCTTCTGTCTGCATGTATGCCTGTCTGCCAGAAGAGGGCACCAGATCCTATTATAGGTGGTTGTGAGCCACCACGTGGTTGCTGGGAATTGAACTCAGAACCTCTGGAAGAGCAGCCAGTGCTCTTAACCTCTGAACCATCTCTCTAGCCCTAGGATATTTTTCTTAATTAGCAATTGATGGGGGAAGACCCAGCCCATTGTGAGTGGTGCCATTCCAGGACTAGTGGTCCTGGGTTCTATAAGAAAGCAGGTTGACCAATCTATGGGAAGCAAGCCAGTAAGAATCAACCATCCATGGCCTTGGCATAAGCTCCTGCTCTATTTGAGTTCCTGTCCTGTCTTCGATGATGAACAGCAGTATGGAAGTGTAAGCCAAATAAGCTCTTTCCTCCCCAACTGGTTTTTTTTTGTCATGGTGTTTTAGTGAAGCAATAGAAACCCCAACTAAGACAAGCACCAGTCATATTGTGGATGCTGTTGGTGCCATGGGTTGTTGCGAGACTTGGTATCTCTGGTCTTTACATAGATTCTTGTGGGGTACTGTCTAGAACTTGATGTTACGTTATGAATAATTAATCATATCTTGAATTACCCAGAGTTTATATACTACCTGTTTCTGTTTACTACTCCAAAATGACCCAAGGAAACATGTCAGAGCAGAGTTCCTAGTACAGAGTGGGGACAGGTGGTGCTGATCAAAACACCCAGTGATCAAATCTAGACCAGCAATGATTGCACTGCCTATAAACTGTGAGTAATGAATAGAAATACTCTCAGCAGGGGAGACTCTCATATTTCTAACGACAGCCATGTAAATACAGGTGCCAAGGACGATGCAGGAGAGACACAGGGACTGCATTCTGCTCTGGTTGTCAGAACATGTTGGGGTGTGTTCCTGGGAAAGGGGGGTTTTGAAGGAATTTTCTCTTTCTACATGAAAAAGAGAAATTTGTGGAATTGTGAGACCAGGATGGAGGAAGATATGACAAAAAAATGAGTTTTTTCATGTACCACAGGGAAAATATAATTAACTTGAGAAGATTGAGAACAGAGAAAACTGAAAACAGGTAATATCACTGTAAAATACATGGACGAAGCCTGCGATGGGAGGAATGATACCAAATGCAACAAGTTCTTGGCTTTGCTAGTGTACAAAGTTCTCCTAGGAAAGAGGTTATATGTATATGGAGGCCCTTTTCTCAAAAAAAGAACAACAAAATACAACAACCCCACCCCTACAAACAAAAAGCCAAAGAGGGAGAGAGAATAAAAAAGAGACTGGGAAATGGAGGGAGGAAGGATGTTTGGGTTTGGTGGATGGCTCAACTCAAACGGAAGAAGCATGCAGACCCTCGTGTACCAACCAGTAAAGCTGCTCTGTAATGCTGACATCTAGAAAAGCAAAACATATGAGGACGCATAGATGTCACAGAAGGAACAGGAGGCAAGTAACCCTGTTACGACGTTTTTTACAGCTTCCAAACAAAGATACCTTTCTCGCAGCTACTCGTCATTTCAAGATAAACCTTGCCTCTGGTCACAAAGAAAACCTTAAACAATTTTAATAAATCAATCAATTAATTTATGTGACAAATTAATATAAAAAGAGAGAGCTCTGGTTTTCTGGCCTGACACTCTGACACAACTGTCCTATTTTGGACAGAAGACCCTGGCCAGCAGTAGAGGTAAGAACATATACAAATTATATATCACATTGATAGGGTGATGGACATTGTTTGTTTGTTTCAATTATTGACTTTTTTTCTTTTTTGGTTTTTCAAGACAGGGTTTCTCTGGGGGTGGAGAGATGGCTCAGAGTTAGAGCACTGCCTGACCTGTCCCCCCTGCAGGATGACCTCTCCCAGTCTCTATGCTTGGAGAGGGGACACACTCAGTCCCACCTCAACTTGATAGGCCATGCTTTGTTCAAGCCCTCGGGAGGCCTGCCCCTTTCTAAATGGAGACTGGGGAGGAGAGAAAGGGAGGGGGAACTGTGGATGGTATGTAACATAATGTAATATATGTATTGTAATATAAAAAATGTTAATTAAAAACAAAAAAAGCACTGCCTGTTTTTCCAGAGATGCCAAATTCCCAGCAACCACATGGTGGCTCACAACCATCTATAATGAGATCTGATGCCCTCTTCTGGTGTGCAGACATACATGTAGACAGAACACTATATACATAATAAATAAAAATTTAAAATATTTAAAAAACTAAAATACTTAAACAAACAAACAAACAAACAAAAAAGACAGGGTTTCTCTGTGTATCCTTGGCTGCCCTGGATCTCACCCCAAACACTGAGCTAGAGCTTGAAGTGAGGCTCATTGGTAGACAGCTTGCTCAAGGTTCTAAGTTTTTATCTCCCACACTATAAAAAAGGCAGAGCATGGGGGGAAGAGAAGGAAAAAAAAACAGTTTGCCCCAGCCAGCATCTAAACACTCTTGCGTTATTAAGTGCCAACCATTTGTGTTACCCACTAATGATTTCATCGTGAGCAAGTGGAGACCTCGTGGCACCAGGGACAGCTGTCGGATGTGGCTGTGGAGGGGATCAGTCACATCAAGTGGCAGCAGGGATACTCACCGTTGGACACTTTGGATTCTTAAACATGACCTTGAACTTAGTCTGAACCTCTCCTGGGATAACTGGGGTGAAGATAATGGGTACTTTGATGGAACTGAAGGGGCCAATTTCTCCCTCTGTTACCTGTGTGAGAAGAAGGGTGCCATGGGGTCAGAGCACGGGCATCACTGTTTTTCTCAGGGAATTTCCCACTAGCCCCCTTTCTCGCCACTACTGCAAGGATGGGTGTAGCAGGACCATGTCCTTGGGGTGTCCATTTGGTCACAATAGTTCTAAGGCTGGCCCTATTCTTGAGTGCTTACTGATATGGAGTCCCAACAGAGTGGGAGTTGGGAGGCTTGTTCAAGCAGTGAGCTGCCTGTGTGCTCTCCACAGACTCTCAGACTGCCACAGAGACTCGGCCCTTTTCACCAGCTTTAGAACTGGGAAGGACTTGGTAGGAGCTGACTGCATTTTCTATCTTGTGTATACACAAGTCCCTACCACCTTACTCCACCTCCAAGCTCCTGGAATTTCAAAGATCCCATTCCTGACCAAGGCTCACAGTCTGCTTTGACAGGGGCAAGAAAGGCAGCCTCAACTATTCTCTGCATCTTCCTCCCCCAGCTATGGAGGGTTTGTTGTTGGTGTCCTCTCTAAGCTGGACCACACATAGGAAATTGGCCCTGCTACTCTAGTCCTACCTACTCTCAACATGGGGAGGGGATACCTTGGTACCAGTTGAGACCACAGGTGCCTGGAGACTATGGGTTTAGTCTGACTTTGGACAGATGAAAGAGCCCCCTGTGAGTATTGGCTAGGGCTGGAGGAGGATGACCTGTCTCCTAGCTAGAAGAAGCCAAGGTTTAGCAGGGCAACTGGACTGACCTCCCCCAGGGTTATCTCTGCCTGCTCATCGCTGGGAACCGTGGTCGTCATGGCACTGGCCACAGCTGTAACCACTGCTTCTAGAAGACAAATAAGACTATGTCAGTAATCAATCCAGGGGGGAAAAGTCTAAGATTTTCAGATTGAATCAACTGAAAAATGTATAAGCCATACTTATCACAAACTCTGAGACACTGCTAAGAAAAAACAAAGATGACTCAATCCATTGGGTCATCATCCTTATGGGTTGAAGACTCAATATGTCAAGATATTATTTCCAAACTGATTATATAGTCAAAGCTATACCAATTACACTCATGAAAGCCTCCCCACCCCCTTGTTTTTCTTTTCTAAGGCAAGGTCTAGCATAGCTCAGGCTGCCTTGAACTCATTGGCAATTATAGACATGAATCAATATACCTACATATTTGGGTTTGATTGTGTGTGTGTGTATGTGTGTGTGTGTGTGTGTGTGTGAGAGAGAGAGAGAGAGAGTGTGTGTGTGTGTCAGAGAATGTAGTAACCAATAAACTAATTCTAAAATGTACCCAGAAATGCAAGGAACCAACACAATGCAAGCAAGCAATTACTTTGGAAAAAAAAGTTGGAACATGCACTTCATGACTGCAAGACTTAATCTAAGTTTGTGACAACCAAGAAAGTATATTAGATGGGATAAACTGATCAAGTGGTTAAGAAAGAGAAACTAAAGAGCACTCCTCTCAGATAGTCAGTAGACTACTGGCACAAGTAACCCATCCATCCAAACATATATTTCTTTTGTTGTTTTTGAGGAAAGGTTTCTCTGTATAGCCCTGGCTGTCCTAGAGCTTGCTCTGTAGACCAGGCTGGCCTCAAACTCAGAGATCCCCCTGCCTCTGCCTCCTGAGTGCTGGGATTAAAGGTATTCACCACCTCTGCCCAGGTCAAAAATATTTCAGTGAAAGTTTCAAGAATAAGAGGCTATCTCCACAGAGGCTGAAACTCAACCCCTACTTTGTGCTAATTTGTCCTAATTTGAGGGTTCAGCTGCCTCTCCCTTGATGCTCCATGCTTTGTTCCCTGACTCCCACCTGCCTGCAGTTTTTCTTTTTCTTTCTTTCTCTTTTTTTTTTTTTTGAGACAAGGTTTCACTTTGTAGACCATTTTGGCCAGGAACTCATGAAAACCCGCCTTGCCTCTGCCTCCTGAATGCTGGGATTAAAGGTGTGTGCCACTACCACTTGGCTGGACAGTTTCTAAAAAGGAAGTACATTACTCTCCAGTCCTCCAGTTTTTCCAGCCTTTGCTGATCCAGGTAAAGTGATGACATGCTTCCTACTGGGAATGAGAATTCTATTTGTATAAGTATTCAACGGAGAGGTGGCAGGAAGATCCTTACCCACCAACTAGGAAATTGCTGATGAAAATGATAAGAAGAAACCAGTGAAGGCATTTAAGATGAAGTTGGTCTGTAATGGTAGTGTCATTGCACATACAGAATATGGAAAAGTAATTGAGCTACAGGTTGACCAATTAAAGAGCACGTACCAATGTGATAGAAATTGGATAAGTAAAGGATGATCTGTGGGAGACTCATGGGTTTTAAGGGCTTGTGGCTATGAAACTTAAGTGGAAATTTCTTGGCAATGAGTAGAAATTGAACTACTGTACAATGAAGAACTCAACAAAACACTTTAAAATTTGAAATGAACTACTGATTTAAATGTAAGATGTAAATTTTTATGATCTTGGCATAGAGAAAAAAGGGCACATACACATACAACCAAAAGAAATGGTGAATTTGGAAATCTTAAAATAAAAACTGTGGTGGCTGGTGGTGGCACACGCCTTTAATCCCAGCAAACACTTGGGAGGCAGAGTCAAGTGGATCTCTGAGTTTGAGGCCAGCCTGTTCTTCAGTGTGAGTTCCAGGACAGCCATACAAAGAAAAAACAAACAAAAGGAAAGAAAACAGGGAAGTGGTGAAAATGACTGGAGGCAGTGTCACAGGGTGGAGAGAGTCTGCATTACAGGAAGGGCCAGTGCCTGCACAGGGTACCTGCTTTTCCAACTCAGCACAAGGGTTGTTCAGTTTTGAGGGCTGTCCTTGTGTATCATCTGCACTTCTACGTAACTGGTATGAAACAAACTCCCTCCTCAGCCTCAGAGCCTTGTGGCACTGCAGGGACCATTTCATAGGCAGAGCCTTCAAAGCCCTCACCCCTGTATACCATGTGGCCAGCCTGACTGTCCACACCTGGGGCTTCTGTTGATACCATTAGTTTCAACACAAATAGAATTTCGATGCACACCATAACCAGTGCATATTTCCATGTGTGAGTATGTTCTATATTTACTATCATTTACAATTGAAGCCCTAAGAAAACTCTGTATCCCTCCTCAACATCACCTAGATAACAGGCCTGTCTGTCTCCAGTTGAGATGCTGGCTCTCTGGCCCCTCTGGTTGACCTGAGATTCTAAGGTGGCTATGCCGAGAGTAGCTCTTGGATGGTTACCTTTGGGAGGCCCTTGTGTCCATGCCAGCACTCTTGTAATCCTACTCAGCATTCAGCTGAGGCCAAGTGCCCTGGCTGGCTCAGGAATCAATGCAGGAAGTTTGAAGTAGGTACTTACTACCCACTCACAAGTCTCCACAACACTTACCATCCAGTTTCTCCGATTCTTTTTGGCTCTGGATGTCCATTGGGGATGACCCATTGATATCAAGCTGTTGCTCAGAGAGACTGGCAAAGATCTTGTCAAAGGGACTTTTGTCCTCACAGGTGTAGAGGCTGCTCTGAAAGGGAACTCAATGTCTTCATTGCCCATTCAACTCCACAGATTCCCTTGTCACCAGGTAAGTTCAGGAGAACCAGAAGAAGACACAAATGTATCTGTGCCCAGGGCTGTTGCCATGCCCTCCGCCCCATGTCTACGTTCTCATTCTGTCTATCCTGGGTCTTAAGACCACAGTATCAACTTGCCTAGGGTAGGAATGGCTGTCTATTTTATCTTGGATGAGCTGGATCCTCTCTCTCATCAGTATGGATGCCCTAATCATAGACCCCACCTATGAGCAGCTGAGTCTGACCTCTTTATAGTCTACGTGGTCACTTGTCCAGAGGCTGGCTCTGCTCTATCCTTGGTTGAGCTGACTCTCCTTTTTTTCCACAGCTGGTTGGAGGCAGAACTCCTAGATGCTCCAGAACCACCCTTCTGCCCGCAACTCATCTAATCTGCCCAAAGCAAGCCTGGCTCCCAGTCACCCCATTCCGCCTGCTCTGCTCTCTGGTTCTGATCACGGCCCCACTTTCCCCCATAGTAGATTACTCTCCACACTGCCTTGGCCATGGCTGCCCTGTTGGTCCTGCCATCTCCTGGGTGAGGAGATGCTTTCTGGGGTCTTTGTTGGGGCACCTGAACAGAGCCAACAGGATTTGCTTCATGCTTCTAATAAGAACACTCAAATATTTTTAGAAGCATGTAAGAAAAGGTACATCTTTTGTTCACCTTCCCTAGATGACCCCACAGTCCATGAGCATGGTAAGGTCATTTCTTAAGTAGGACCCAAGGCAACTGTTGCCATTCTGTGGCCCATGCATGTGGCCCATGCACAGTCTTCTTGGGAAAGACAAAGGATTTTGTCATGCTCTGGAAAGAGATCCATGGCCTCTCATGGAGCTGTCTGATTGGACTCTGGTCCTTTCAGGGCCTCCCAGTGCTCCTGCTCAGTACAAACTGCATGACTTAATGGGGCCCCATTCTGCTGCCTTTGCTCCTGAGGCCAGACTGCATGTGAGGCTGTCCTGACATTTTCCTCTTCCCCCCTGATTTGCTGACACTCTTAGTTGCTCACATGTTTGTACACATATGGGATTGTATATGTGGCTGGGGAGGCTCCCACCCCATCCTTGACTGAGCAGAATCACAGACACCCATGGCGGCTGTGGCTGCTGGTCAGAAGCTGCTGGTGCACTCACTATTTTCATGATGGGTTGGGCTTCTTCCATCTCATAGAACTGAGAATCTTGGAGAAACTTGAATTTGGTGCCCAGGCCCCCGACATTGGTCAATGTGATGATCCGGGATGTGGTCTGGCCCACCACATAGCTGCCAAAGTCAATGAGCTCCTTGTCAAGGGACAGCTGCCAGAGAACACAAGTGTAAGCCAGGGTGGCTTCTAGGCTGTTTGCATTCTCAATCACAAAGGAGTTAGGTCCTTGCAGGAATCATGGCCCAGAGGACCTGATATCCCACAAAAGAAGGTTTTTCTCTCCAAAATATCAGGTGCAGTTCCAAGAAGCCGGGGGGCAGGGGGGGGACCCTGACTCTTCTGTTCCACAGGGAGGTTTGCATTTGACTCCAGGCAGAAGAGGCAGGGGTACCATGAGTACCTGTGCACTGCAAATCGGGGACACAGCCCACTTAAGAAGTCACTGATTGGTCCTGGAGAGATGGCTCAGTGATTAAAAGCAGTGGTTGCTCTCCCAAAGGACCCAGGTTCAATTAATTCCCAACACCCACGTGGCAGCTCACAGCTAACTGTAATTCTAGTTCCAGGGGATCTGACACCCTTACACAGACATATATGCAGCCAGAACACCAATTTACATAAAAATAAATAAATAATTTTTTAAAAGTCACAGATTCATGCGATGACCAGTATAGCTTGAAGCTCCTGCATCTGGTTTTAAGAGGGTCAAACCAGCACCTCCATGATCGGGAGATGATGAATGAAAGAGAGGAGAGAGACATCATGGTCTGGGAGTGGTGGACAAGCTATAACAGCTGCCATTCCTGGCTGAGGTGAGCTGTTAAGCTGTCCTGCAGATACTAGACCTGGAAAGTACTGCTTCAGCTACATCAGAGTGGGATCATGTCATATCATTCATGCCCTCCATGGGCTATAGGCCACAGACTCACCATGCTCAAGTAAAGAGTGCCATGCCTGTGTATCACTATGATTCCACAAATGGCATCGCTCACAGGGCTGTTTGGGACACTGAATCGAAACCTAGGGCTCCACCTGCGGTGATGTCTTGTTGTACTCTAACAAATAAAGCTTGCCTGAACATCAGAGGGCGGAGCTAGCCACTAGCTAAGCATGGAGGTCTGGAGGTCTGTACAGACGGGCCAGCAAGTGAGATGGACAGAGAGAGGAATATAAGGCAGCAGGGAGACAGGAGCTCGGCCTCTTTTCAGTCTGAGTATGAGACTCAGACTGAGTATTCAGTCTGAGGTGAGAGCTCCAGTGTTTGCTGCTCTGCTTCTCTGATTTTTCAGCTTTCACCCCCTAATATCTGACTCCAGGCTTTTATTTTTAAGACCAATTAGAGCTCGTGATACAGGCACTTGTAGTGCCTTTCTCCAGAGGCATGACAATGGGCCACCAAAGCCAGCAGACCAAAGTATGAGACAGAGTAGTACAAATTCAGGCCAGAGAGGCTACCTGTGTCTGCTACAGATGGCTAGTGTCACAGGGCCACCATTTTCCCTTGATGAGACAGAGTTCTTACTGGTTTTGCAGCCTATCCTAGACCTGCCCCGAGAAGAGCTCTTGCACACATGAGTCTCAGTGTCTGTGACAGTAACTTGTCACAACACTGGGAGTGAGGGTGGGACACAGGAGGCATATAACGATGGTTTCCAACTTGTAGGGAGGTGGGACTATTAAAGATGGGAGGGAAAGTAGAGAGGGTAGGGAGGTATAATAATCATAATGTACTTTATACATGTATGAAAGTATCAAAGAAAAACTCAATAAAATCTGTCTTTTACAACTACTTCTTTTATTTTAATTATTTCATTTTATGTGCTTGAACATTTTGCCTGCATGTTTGTATGCGTACCACGTGCATGCCTGAGGAAGTCAGAAGAATGCACAGGATCCCCTGGAACTGGAGTTGCAGATGGCTGTTAACTGCCATGTAGGTTCTGGGAACTTAACCTGGGTCTACAAGAGCAACAAGTACTCTTAAGCAAAGCTATCTCTCAGCAAAGGACAAAGGGACCTTAGCTAGTGTCATCACTCTCTGCCTCCGTGTCCTGCAGCCATGACTGCCCCATCCTGAGGGACCAGGTCCCTTGACCACAGCCAGAGTGAATCCTTCTTTTCCCGAGTCTAATTTAAGCCATATATAATTTAAAGAACACAGGGACACAGTAAACATGGCAATAGGGAACAGTCATGCAAATCTAGGGTGTTCTATAAAATAATTGGCTTAGTAAGTTTTATGACCCAAAAGTGGAAAGGGGGCTGGTATTCTAGGCCAAAATATACTCACCAATGTAACAATTAAATGTAATCTCAATGACATCAAAAATAATATATAAAAGGTTTAGAGACGGTGGGACACATTTGATATGAATTGAGCATTAGGTGATAGGAATTCTGCTAGTTTGTTGGTGTAACATTTGGACTACTGTCTCAATTCTCCATTCTCTCTCCGTTCTACCTATCACACTGAAGAAGGTCTCTCTCTGCCCCACTGATTTTCAACTTGTATGTCGGCCTTGGTTTGGGCAATAAATCAAAGGGAGATAAGTGAAATTTGCTGGTATCGCCGGCTTTGGTGTCTACATTTCCAGTCATTTCCCATGAGAAGTTCATGCTAGACGGATCCTGCTCTAGAGGCTGGAAGGCGGAGAAGGCCATGGTGAGTTGGCCTACCTGACCTAGCTCAGTCTACCTTAGTCGGCTCACAAAGAACCTGTGGGCTGTATGTGTGGGACTAAAGACACTGCAGTCTGACACATCTATCAGGTTTGTGCTGTGAATGCCACGTGGAAACAAACAACAACACAGTGGGCGCTTATTAGAAATGCCAACGTTTCTAAGGGTGCTAAGTCTGGCATTGGTAATTTTCTCTGAAGCAATCCCACAACAATAGATTGTATAGAGATGAAACCAGTGTGGCATGTAGATAGTGGGTATATGGAAAATTCACTGCATCATTCTGTTTTTTCATTATGCTTGCAAATTTACTCACAATAAAAATATCTGGGGCTGGAGAGATGGCTCAGTGATTAAGAGCTCTGGCTGCTCTTCCAGAGGTCCTGAGTTCTATCTCCAGCAACCACAGGGTGACTCACAGCCATCTATAGTGGGATCTGATGTCCTCTTCTGACATAAAGTCATGCATGCAGATAGAGCACTCATATACAAAAAAATAAATATTTTTTTAAAAAATCTGAAAGCAAAAAAAAAATCTGCAAGCTGGTATAGTGTTGCACAACTGTAATCCCAGCACTAATGAGGCAGAGGCAGGTGGATTTCTCTGTGTTTGAGACCAGTCTAGTCTACGTAGTGAGTTCAAGGGCAGCCAGAGAACATAGTGAGACCCTGTCTTGAAAACATATGTGTATTTGTGGACACACCCAAGGGCTAAAGAAAAGGCTGGCATCTCGGACGGATCTCCTCCCCTCTGAACTCTGGGTCTCTCAGTCAGGGACCCCATACAGAGAAGGGTTTATCTAGAAATTTCCATCTCCGGTCTGATGACTACCTTTTCAGAGTATCTCACGTCACCCAGTCTAGGCTCAGATTGGAGTCTACCACCCGGGTCTGTGGTGGAGCTCTAGCCCCACGCTTTGGTACTCCAAGGAGTACCATGGAGAGAGATTCTGGGAATTTAAACTTACAGAACATTTTTTCGTTGAACATTTCAGTGGAACAGAAAAGCCTCCGGTCTGAGCCAAAAATGAAACATTTCCTTCCAGATCTTTATTTATCTAAAAAGCAGAAACAATCCCAGTCACTACATGTTTCTATGACGACACAGTTACACAGGCTGCATCTGTATGACTATGGCCGGGACCTACATACTACTTGCTTAGTGGCCTCCCAGGGAAGAAACACACTTCACAGCCTACAGAGAGTTACGTAAGAGAGTAAAACCAGCCGGCCGGTGGTGGCGCACGCCTTTAATCCCAGCACTCGGGAGGCAGGTGGATCTCTGTGAGTTCGAGACCAGCCTGGTCTACAAGAGCTAGTTCCAGGACAGCCTCCAAAAAGTCACAGAGAAACCCTGTCTCAAAAAACAAACAAACAAACAAAAAGAGTAAAACCAAACCTTCTGGCAAGCTTTATTCTGCTAGCATTATAGAATGGCACTGAACTCTTTTGTTGTTATTGTTAAGCCAGAAAAAAAAAAAAACCACCCCTGTGTGATCCTTTGACGTACCATAGGCTTGAAGGTGACAAGAACTTCACAGGACATCCCGGCTGACATGGGACCAGGGGGGTCAAAGCTGCAGGAACAGCACATGGGTAGTTAGGAAAATGGAGGCTCATTACACACCCAGCTGGGCCTTTCGGATTCCTTGCTCATGTTCCACACTTGTGCTGGTGGTTTTATGTTCACTTAACACAGGCTAGAGTCACTTGAGAGATAGGAACCTCAGTCAAGAAAACGCCTCTATAAAATCTGTCCATAGGCAAGCCTGCACGGCATTTTGCTAATTAGATGTGGGAAGGTGCCAGTAAACAGTCCTTCTCCTTGGCCTCTTCATTAGCTTGTGCCTTCAGGCTCCAGTCCTGTTTGAGTTCCTGTCCTGACATAGACTATGATGTGGAAATCTGTGCCAAATAAATCTTTTCCTCCTCAGGCTGCCGTTGGTCATGGTGATTTTACAGTAGCAATAGTAGCAATAACTAAGGCAACACCTCTACCTAGATGTGTTGGCACATGAGCAGCTCCAAGTCTGCTGTGTTCTTCACTGACTCCATTTCCTGATGAACAGGAGACACTTGAATAATCTTCAAATGTCTGTCCACTGAGTGAGGTGCATCCCAAAAAGCCAACTCCAAAAGCATGGGTGCTGTAGGATGCTGCTACCCCGGGGTACAATCACTAGGCCTTGGGTCAAGGATGTTGAGCTCTAATAGCAACATGAAGGGAAGGGCTATAAGTCAAGTCATCCAGGAAAACAGCCCCAACTGCAGGGAAATGAGATGGGAGGTAGTCTGTCTTGATCTGAATCTTGAGTGAGTGAAGGGGTCTTCCTACAGAATTCCTACTATCAGGCCTACATTTACAACATTGAATTTTCATAATTTTCTTGGTTTGTAAATACACAAAAACTTAATATAAAAATGTGTCTCTGGGTGCTGGGGAGCTTTCTGAGTCAATAGACGGCTTGCTATGAGGGCATGAGGACCAGAGTTCAATCTCCAGAACTCAAGAAAAAAGCCAGGAGTGATGATATATGCTTGTAATTACAGCACTAGGGAGGCAGAGACAGAGAGATCCCTGGGACACTTACCCTGGAGACTAATTGGCAAGAGGATCAGAATCCAAGGCTATGCACATGTGGGGTGTTCATAAACCAACTCAGTGAGAAGCGGGGCCAAACTCTAGGAACTTCCCACAACACACTACTGAAACTTGTATGATTGACTGGAGCCTCTAAAAGGCACGTGGTAAAATAGCAAAGTCATAAAGATACAGCATTATGGACAGGAAGAAAGAAAAAGATACTGTTAAGAAAAAGGGCATGCCGGGCGTTGGTGGCTTACGCCTTTAATCCCAGCACTCCGGAGGCAGAGGCAGGCAGATCTCTGAGTTGGAGGCCAGCCTGGTCTACAGAGTGAGTTCCAGGACAACCTCCAAAACAATAGAAAGAAACCCTGTCTTGAAAAACAAAAAACAAAAGTAAAAGAAAAGAAAAGGGCACATACACACACAACCAAAAGAAATGGTAAGTTTGGAAGTCTTAAAATAAAAGCTACAACTGGGCAGAGGTGGCACTCACCTTTAATCCCAGCATTTGGGAGAGGCAGAGGCAGGTGGATCTGTGACTTCAAGGCCAGCCTGGTCTACAGAGTGAGTTCCAGGATAGCCAAGGCTACACAAAGAAACAAGAAATCCTATCTTGTAAAAGAGAGAGAAAGAGAGAGGGGGGAAGGAAGGAAAAAGAAATGCCAGCTCATCTGAAAAAGAACTAGGAATTTTTAGAAATGAGAAACATAGTACTAAAAACAAGACACACAGTCAGCAGCTTCTGCAGCCAGCTAGACACAGCTGAAGAGACCAGAAGCTGGGACACCTCACACACTGCCTGAATAGGCAGAGTGTGAAGCAGGTGCCATAAGGACAGAGAGGTTAGGAAGGGAAGGTTACAAAGCCATGGAGAGAGCTGATATTTACGGGCAAAGGATGAGACATTTCTAGAACTGCTCAAAGATACGAACCTCAGCTCCAAGAAGTGCAATGAGTCTAAAAAAGACCAAGCATCCAGGTATGCTGCAGTAAGCAGGGCTGCAGGACACTGAGGGCAGGGATCTCAGTGCAGCCAGAGGAAATGGAGGGACACGCTAGAGAGTCACAACTACAACATCAGAAGAGACCAGAAGACAGAAATGGATGCCAGCCTTCAGGTGGGGAGAGAACCTTGAATCCAGGCACAGGATGGAGAGCTTCGTGACGGCTGTGGTGACGGTGACCACCACCTAACCTGGGTCCTCCAGACAGTCTCCAGAAACCCTACAGGTCCACAGAAGCATGTGGCTCAGCATGACTAAAAGACAGAGAGGCTCTCAGATCTCAAACTAACACAGTGGGTAAAATAAAGACTTTTTATCAATACTCCTGCCATGCAAGACTTTGCAGACAGGAGATTCCAAAAATTTCCAGAAAGAAGGAGCAGAGGACTAAAAGATCCTACTGTCTGCTTGTGCTCAGTTCACAAGAGGACAGACAGCGCCTCTGCTCTGCCAGCCAGTGCTGTTCATGAAGGAACTGTGCGGGAACACAGCCCACAGGAATAGCCTCGTGAAGACACCCTTCAGGGAGAACAAGGGGACCCTGAGACCTGAGCAATTTAGAAACTGCACATCACACACTAACGGAAGGAGGTGATTTGAGCTGTGAACAAAGCTGCCTATAAACTGCACACGGTGAAACACACCTGTCGTGTCAGCTATTTGGGAACTAAGGCAGGAGGATTGCATGTTTGAGACCAGCCTGAACTACATGATGAGTTCAAGGTCAGCCTAGGATGCAGAGCAAGACCCTTTGTTCAGAAACAACAAAAAGACTAGGAAAGAAAGGTGAAGGTCAGATGCTGACAGACAAGGGCCGTTGAAAACACTGCAAAGTGAAAAGGTGGGGGCGTGGAGAAGCATTAACGGTAACCACAGAAAAATAATACTTAGAAAACCAGCAAAGAAGTGACAACATGTACACAAGAGGATTCTTAGAAAAAGGAAAAAAATGAAACACTAGCACAAAGACTGCTTCAGAAAAGCTGTTTTGAACTCTACATAGTGAGAAAGCCTGTTGGCTGCCAAGCTCAAGTACTACACTGTGTGCCAAAACCAACACACAGTGAAAATGTGAGAAGACTTAGGCAGTCTATCCAAAAGCTTGGTCATGCATTCAGGGGAACTGGATGGGTCTTCATGACTTCAATATTAAGAGATGGAGCAGTAACCTCTCCAACTCTTCAAGGCAAGTTAGCCCCATAGCCTCCTGCCTAGACTCTGCAAGACTCACTCAATGTGGATGAAGTCCTTCAGGCTCTCCTCCACACCCACCAGCTTACAATAGTTGATTGTGTAGGTAGCATTTATCAACGTGATCTTCTTCTTGTACACTTTACCAATATCAAAGTCCTGCAGAGATAGAGGAGACATGGTGACCCCAAGGCCTCCAGCAGACCTCAAGAGCAGGTCAGGGGAAGAGGGGACTACCCTGCACTGACTCACGAGAAGTTAAGGATCCTGGGGTAGAAAAGGGTTCCCCTGGTTTCCCTGGAGTTGCGACGCCCCCTCGAGGTGTGAGAAAGTCAGTGAAGAACTTCCTCCTGAGCAGGAAGTGAGTTTTGTGGGGAATTGGTTGGGTGGGAGAGAGAGCTAAAGCTCAGGCTGCATATCTTAGTCTGACCTTCTGTTTGTAAACGCTGACACTAGCCAGCTGGTGGTGGGTCCTGGGGTCCTTGGGGGCCCCTGCGCGGGGAGGTGGAATTTGCCAAGCAGAAGGGGCCTAACAAGTGATTATCCTGTTATATTCCTTCACAGGAGTCCAGGCCCCTTTAGAGGAGTGTTCAGGTGCCTCCTGCTCTTAGGCTGTCAACTCAGCCCTTGCATAGCAGCCCCCAAAGCCGAAGATTTCTCTAGGTTTCCCAAGGTCAAAGCAGAAAGCATCAGGGCCCTGGCTCACCTTAAAGTGAATGACCTCCGGCTTGCTGTTGAATGGGCGGCCCTTGAACTCCCTCCCAGACACCACCTGCTTGTGGATAATCCCACTGCGCAGCTGCTCCATAGTGCGAGCCAGGATGTCCTTGTCCATCTTAGTTCCACCCACAGGTTTCAGTTCTGTGTCTGGCTTTGATACCTTGGGATCAGAAAGACAGAGGTTCACGCTTGTTCAAAGTACAGAGCCAAACCTGGCACACCTGGTCACAGGTCAGTTCTTTTCAAGACTATGGAAAGGGGAGAAGGACCTAGAGTCTGACGGGGGCAGTGGCAGACACAGAATGGGGCAGAAGGTGGGCAATTGCTCCCAGGAACCCGGACTCTCAGTGTGGCTCAGGGTTACTCCCAGTGAAGGATCTGACAGAGGAAAGTTGTTACCTGGTATGACTTATAGTCTTTGCTCCAAAGCCCGGGGATATCTGGTTCAGCCAGCACCTCCTCCTCTGTACTAATGGTCCCCAGATCCACCACAGACTCACTGGATATGGCTTTCAATAGACAGGAAGGCTTGGGGTAGAATGGCATCTCATTTTCCTGCCAACACAAGAGTGATGGAATAAGACATGCTCGTTACAGAATGGAGAATGGATAGCCAAGTAAGAAGGAAACAAAGGCCGGGCAGTGGTGGCGCACGCCTTTAATCCCAACACTCGGGAAGCAGAGGCAGGCGGGTCTCTGTGCCAGGACAGCCTCCAAAGCTACACAGAGAAACCCTGTCTTGAAAAACTAGAAGAAGAAGAAGAAGAAGAAGAAGAAGAAGAAGAAGAAGAAGAAGAAGAAGAAGAAGAGGAGGAGGAGGAGGAGGAGGAGGAGGAGGAGGAGGAGGAGGAGGAGGAGGAGGAGGAGGAGGAGGAGGAGGAGGAGGAGGAGGAGGAGGAGGAGGAGGAGGAGGAGGAGGAGGAGGAAGAAAAACAAAACCCCTTGGGACTCTACTGGATACTTGGCCTGAAAACCCCACAATGTTCTTCCTCTTCCTCCTCCTCTTCCTCCTACTCCTCCTCCTCTTCCTCCTACTCCTTCTCCTCCTCCTTCTTCAGACTTAGCCTTTCTGTGTAGTCCTAGCTGTCCTGGAACTCACTCTGTAGACCAGGCTGGGCTGGAACTCACAGAGATCTGCCCACCTCTGCCTTCCCAGTGCTGGGGTTAAAGGATTTTTTTTGTTCTTTACAGAAACAATTGTGTACCTATAAATCCTTGTAACTTTAAAACACATCATGCACATGTCTATGGACTACTGACTGTCTTCCTATAGTGTTCAGCAGAGTCCACTATAAATCCTTGTAACTTTGAAACACATCATGCACATGTCTATGGACTACTGAATGTCTTCCTATAGTGTTCATCGGAGTCCACTAGAAGGTCTTGTTCATAAGAAAATATTCTGATAAGTGGACATGTGGTAATTTACTCTATCATCCCATCGGGGATACTCATCGTGTTGGATTTTCATGGTGGATGGCCCAGCAGTCCTGGAGAAGTCCTGTGAAAACTCAGGAAAGATGGCTGTACTGGTTTGGTTGGAACTGTTTTGGGGTTCAGGACTCATCTGATTGCTCTGTACTACGCTTGCATTGTACACCATGGGAAACGAGGGCCAAGGTGAGAAGTGATGAGAGGTAGAGGCTCCCCCCTGGTACACAGGGCGGTGAGAAACAGGAAAAAAGCCTATGGCGCACTAAATGCACAGGAAAATGCCCCGGAGGCCACAGTTCAGGAAGCCAGAGAGCGGCCGCTGTAGATGCAGGATGCTGGGTTAAGGAGCAGCCAATATTCTTACGCCTTTAAGGAGAGGCAAGCTGGAAACAAATCTCCCCAGCCTGGGGTGTTGTCTACACAGGCCACTGGCTCAGACTAGGACCTCGGTGTGAGTGAGAGGAATACTCACTCAGTCTTCAGGGAGGCACTAGGAATACCTGGCACGGGTGATAACATGTCTATGGACTGTGGCTACACAAGTCTCTTTGTATGAAGGGACAGGTGAGGGACTTTCCCCTTCTCATAGACGGGCATCTTTGTAAGGCTCTGATAGCACCATTGGCTAATAGGAGGAACTTACACGAGGGAGAGTAGGACCCTGGTGGACCTCAGTCAGCTTCTCCACACCTGTACCTCCAAGTGCCTGACTTAAACGTGAAAGCAGCAAACGTCCTACTTACCAGCAGGTAGTTTGTGGTCGTGGCAGTCTTTCCTTCACAAAAGTCAGAGATGTACTTCCAAGTTTTGTCTCTTAGAGTCTGCTGCTCTGTGGTTGTAGCGGGCGGATGCTGCCTCTTTCTCCTACGGTCTTCCTCTGCTTCCTCTTTCAGGATTCGACTTACAATCTCCTGCTTCCGGAGTTTCTGCTCCTCTTCAAAAGCCCTATGGGAAGTGCTTCTCAGATAAGAGCCGGGTGCCCTTTCCCAGTACCCGAAAGCTGGGCACCTAGTGGTTACCAGGGTTACATGTGGTGTTTCTTTCAGCTCTCTGGTTCCTTCCCAAGAGCTCAAGTGCAGCCTAGGAAGGCTCTGGTGTTAGGACACCCTGTCTTGGATAGAGAGTGTAACAGATAAAGCTCATAAGGGCTACTAAGCTGGAAATGTGACTTGGACCCTCACTTTACCACACCCTGTCTTGCCCTGTTCAGCTCTGCATTTGACCTGTCTAGTTTTGAATTGTCTCGTTCATGTCAGTCTTAAAGCCCCCACAATAAACCCTGGCCCTCATGATCTTCCATGCCCTGGTCTCTAGGCTTGTGACTGAGGAGACCCAGCTGAGAAAAAAAACAAGGGCATCATTAGGGCTTGGTGACATGTCATGACTCCTTCCCAGATTCATTATAGCCATCCCTTGCTAGGCACCACCCAGGCAGCAGACCTATAACCACATCACACATGGGCAGACTGATGGGAAACATCAGAACACTGCTGACAATTGTGGTGGTATGCCCGTGGTGTGTGCCCATGTGTGTGTGTGTGTGTGTCTGCGTGTGTGCCTCTGTGTGTGTACACACACCTATGCATATGTATGTGTTGCACACTTGTGAGACACTTTGAAGAGGAGGATGTCCTATAACAAGTGAGCCAACAGGTACTATCCGAGCAGATCCTATTCAGTGACCAGCAGGGATCAGGAACTTGGGAGAAAGGGCCTGGCCCTTCAGACTGAGGACAGCTTTAGGCAAAGACACTAAGTAATGGGGGTGGGGTGGAAAAGGCCAATATGAAGTGGGCCTCTTTGAAAACTCTGTGGGAGAAACCACTGACTAATGGCCTGGAGGAGGCCAAAGAAAGAAGTCAAAGGACAATACGTGAATGAGACCCAGGCATCCCTCAGGGAGAAGGGGGCCACAGGAGCTCAGGATCCTCACAGCTGAAGAACCGGAAGTCAAGAGAAGAAATGAGGAAAGAGGTGTCCTTGCCCAGTAAGAGCCTCTATGAAAAGCCCCCAAATGCCAAAAACCCCTGGAGACTTCCACAGCCAGGGGTCAGGGAGGGGAGTGCTGCGGCTCTCCTCCCTAGCCCACAACTGCTTCTGGTGAAAAGTCTGGGCAGGAATTAGCTTTGTTACTTTTAGGGTTCTCTCCATGCCCGCATCCCAGGCAAGTGTCTCCCAGCGCTTACCGCCTCTGGGCTTCCAGTTCCTGGTGCCTGCGCTGATAGCAAAGGTGCCTGAATGCATCTCCACCTTGGGCCAGGATCACCTCCTTCTCTGTGAGGGCCTTCTGCTTAGCCAGCTCTGCTCTGCTTTGGCCCCATGCTTGGAACTTCTTTAGCGTTTCCTGGAAATAGGGAGCTCTAAAGTCACAATCCCAGCGTATGCCTATGTATACACACACACACTCTTTTTTTTTTTTTTTTTGGTTTTTCGAGACAGGGTTTCTCTGTGGCTTTGGAGGCTGTCCTGGAACTCGCTCTGTAGACCAGGCTGGCCTCGAACTCACAAAGATCCGCCTGCCTTTGCCTCCTGAGTGCTGGGATTAAAGGCGTGCGCCACCAACGCCTGGCTCACACGCACACTCTTACACACACACTCATACTCAAACCTTTTCTTTGAATAGATGTATTTAAATCAGTGCAGAAACTTATGGGTCCTGAGGTAGGCAATTTTCAAACATTCATAATTTCCCCACCTATCTCTCATCCAGTGCACAGCCCTGGGTCCCCTGAGTATGGAATTCTGTGCATCTGGGTGCATGTTGGCCACCCCACTGCTGGTTCCCTCACCTCTGAGTCTTCATGATGTTGTGACCTACTCATCCCTACCACATTCCTACCTAGCCCAGACCTGAGTCCTAGTGCTGGCCCTCACCCTGCCCTGGGCCCTGTCACTGCTCTTCCACTGAAAAGTGGCCCTCTCAGGACAGCGCTGTTTTCCTTCTGCTGGACTTCCTATCTGCAGGCCAGGCAGGAAGCCTGTGGTGGAGGCATGGTAACCCTTCAGGGAATGGCTGGTGTTGGGGCCCAGGCAGCCTAGAGGTGGAGCTACACCTACCCGACTGGCAGTGATGTTGTTTTTCAGGGCCAGCACAGCGTCCATGCGTCGCTTCAAGTGCTCTCGGGACTCCATCTCTTCCTTCTGCTCTCGCTCCCGAACTCTGGAGTGACATGCATTTTATTTATGTTTTGTTTTTGTTGGCTTGTTTTGAGACAGGGTATCTCTATGTAACTCTGGCTGCCCTGAAACTCACTATGTAGACCAGGTTGGCCTCAAACTCAGACATCAGCCTGCCTCTGCCTCCCTAGTGCTGGGATTCAAGGTGCGTGCCACTATGCCTGGTATAATGTGAATTTTTAAGAGGTATGTATGCAGGTAATGCTGACGTTTATTGAGTTATAGGAGTCTTCTGGTTACTTCTACCAGAGAAACAATAAAAGCTGACAACACAAAGGTAAAACGGATAAGCCTTTCTGTTCAGGGCTTATTCTTATGGGAGAGGTGACCGGGGATGTTCTTTAGACCCCAGGACCCCAGGACCTATTGTGTCTCATGCTCCTTTTGCAAATACAAATAGCAGCTTGAAATAAAAACTGCTGATCTATTTGTTTCTGATGACTAGGTAATGACTTAATTAGGGAATTTCAAAGTCAAGGCCAGGAACCCACATTCCTACATTCCTCAAGAGCATTGCCAGAAGAAAAGAGTTACAGTAAGAACACACTTTCCCAGAGAGGCCTTCAGGAACTTCACGGCCACCTTGTGGTTTCTCTGGGCATCTTCCACCAGTTTCTGATGTCTCAGCCCCAGCTCCTTCTGCACATGCAAGGACTTCCTGCAGAGACACAGGCAGAGATGGGAACAAGTGTAACATAATATACCCGTGTGCCACAAATGTCAAACAAATTGCTGCTGAGGGCTCGGGTGTGAGGAAGTCTCCAGAACCAAGGTCTGACCCAGGAGAAGAGCCAAGCAAAGCTGATGGTCTAAAGAGATAAGAGGGACTTGCTCCATCTTGGGAGAGCAGAGCCAGGAGCCACTTAGCTCCTGGGGACTGGTGGTTGAGCAGAGATGGCAGCTGCCTCAGAGGATGTCTGGGAACTGAGCTTGACCCCTCCACAGCTTGTGTAGGCAAAGGAGAATCCAGAAGTGCGGCAGGGCCAGAGAACAGCACATCTGGGAAGGGTCTGATGGCTTCCTTGGTGCAAGTCAATAGTGACTGTGGGTGCTTAATATGGAGTAGGGAGCCTAGGCAAGACCCACGGCACAGATGCAAAGAGCCAGACCTAGAAAGACTTGATGTAGAACACAAGGGGACTGAACTGGCAAGGGCCAGTCTGGGTGGCACTTACCGGGCCCTCAGCAGACGGTTCCGCTCCACCTTCTCCAAGGTTTCTTTCTCCTTTTGAAGCTGCTGAGCTGCGTGTACCTCAAGGCACCTATGCCTAACTTCTGCCTCTTCTTCATTATGCTTCCGGACATCTTCAAATTGCCCCTTCTGGATCTCAATGTGCCACATGGCATTCCTTGTAAAAACAAACCATTTGTAGTTTATGGTATCGAAGGGTTTGAAGACCTGGTGCCACGCCTCTGTGAAGCATCTATCTGGGGATGTGGACTGGGTGATCCTGGTACTTCATTTTGATAAATACTCTAGGTAGGCATTTGACACCACTGATGAGGAGTTAGTATCCTCCTCTAAGGCACAAGTCCAGAAGGCCTGCAACTCATCTTCATTTGGGATGAGTAGCAGGAAGGTCTTTCCTAGGGTGTGGGAGTCCATGCACTTACTCACTGTCCTTCAGCATAGCTGTGATTTTGGACTGCAGATCTTTCTCATGCTCCAACTCTGTTTGCAGGCGTCTGGATGCAGCCTGGAGACGGCCCATTGCAGCCCTGGAGCATATTAACAGAATCCAGGAAGGGCCACAGATCAGCACCACAGTCTCACAGAGAAAGAGAACCGAGGACAGCCTGGTGCTTTCCCTTGGCCATCCCGTTTTCAGGAGGGAGTCCATCTGAAGTAGATGACCAAACGTGAGACCCCGCGGTGTGGAGTAAGGTGCCTCCTACACCCTTTTCCCGCTGGGCAAGAAGGACCAAAGTCGGGCCTGACACAGGCTCCATGGAGGTCCTGGAGTGGGGTTTCTGCTTTTATTACTGGTTATGAACTCTCTGCTTTTGGCCTCTCACTTTCCCTTAGGAAGCTAGAAGCCAAACTCCTGCTTGTGGCCCGGTTCTATACCCAGGAAGGACCAGCACACTCTCAAAAAACTGCTAAGGCCTGGCATTCAGGGCTGTTCTGAGCTCGTCCCAACCTGCTTCCTTGCTAGCCGTACAGCTCTCGCCCGTGCCATCTTCCTTGTTGGCGCCTGATTATAGTACTAACTGCAACCATTTTATGGAGTGGTGAGCAGGCGTCTCTTCTTGGTAGTAATGCGTTTGGAGGGAAAGCTGAAGGGCCCCTGAAGACATGCTCGGGGGACGTGGATGAAGGACGCTCCTGCACTTGTGTGGCACTGGAAGCAGGTTTCTGGGAACCGATAAGCTCTGGGATTACTTGTGGACACTGCGCTGCTGATTCACAATTCAGATGGGTTTCAAACTCTACAAAAAGTCAGCTGTGGGGGCTCAGGCTTGTAATCCCAGTGCAGGGAGTATGTGAGGCAGGAGGACTGTGAATTTGAGGATAGAATAGACTACAGATTGAGACTCTGTCTCAAAGTAAATAAAGTAAAAAGATACTAACACTCTACAAAGAAACCATTTCTGTCAGAGTGACCAAGTCTAGAGCTTCTGCTTCATGAGCTGCACTGACTCAGCCTTGTGCGTTCTGTGACCTCAGCACCTTATACTAACATTTCTTTTTAAATTTTCTTCTTTGTGTGTGTGTGTACATGCTCATGTGGGTGCATGCTCATGTGTGTGTATGCTCATGTGTGTGTGCATGTTTTTGTGCATGTGCATGTTTATGTGTGTGTATGCCCGTGTGTGTACATGCTTATGTGTGTGTATGCCCGTGTGTGTACATGCTTATGTGTGTGCATGCTCACGTGTGGTGTGTACATGCTCATGTATGTGCATGCTCATGCGTGGTGTGTACATGCTTGTGTGTGCATGCTCATGTGTATGCATGCTCATGTGTGTGCATGCTCATGTGTATGCATGCTCATGTGTATGCATGCTCATGTGTGGTGTGTACATGCTCATGTATGTGCATGCTCATGCGTGGTGTGTACATGCTTGTGTGTGCATGCTCATGTGTATGCATGCTCATGTGTATGCATGCTCATGTGTGGTGTATACATGCTCATGTGTGTGCATTCTCTGCCTAATTCTTTTGAGACAGGCTCTGTCTGTGAATCTGGAGCTCATTCAGCTAGTCTGGCTAGCTAGCAAGACCTCTGGATCCTTCAATGTTGGGGTTATAGGTGTGAACTCACTGCTATGGGATCAAATTCAGGTCCTCATTCTTGTGTAGCGAGTATCTCACCAACTGAGCCATCTCCTAGACTGATATTTCTTCCTTGTGCAATAATGTCTGTTTGCCACCCTGGAGAGATGCTGTCTGCTATTTGAATATAGCAGGTATTTAACATTCACCTTTGTTGAATGAATGAATAAATGAATGAGTGAAAATAAATGAACCTCTATGAATGGTGCTATCTTGGCCATCATGGTAACACTTGACTGTTAACCATGATGTTACCATCCTTGCCCACAAGGATGACCTACATGTTGTTGGCTTCTCGCTCTGTGGAGATCTCAGCTGCCAAGCTCTCCTGCTGTTTGGTGAGGAGGTCCATCCTCTGCCGACAGACTTGAAGCTCCCCTCTAGAACATCAAAGAAAGAGTTACCATCAGGCTCTCCTAAGGTTTTAGCCTCAGAAGGGGCCAGTGGGGCAGAGAAGGGATAAGGTCTAAGATCCAGGCCAAGGATGAGGAATACTTTGTCTTTCTAGGAGTCTCTCTGACTCTGTCGTGTCACATGAGTAGCCTGTTTCCTGAAAACTCTGCCAAAGGGTCCAGTGGTGCAACCTCCTCCAAAGGTGATAAGCACAGGAAGCCAAGGGAAATCTGTATAAACAGACAGCTGCAGCTCCTCCCCAGCACACTACAGCACAGACGGAGGCGCGATGTGTAAGCCTGGGTGAGATGCTCACTCCAGTTAGGTGACTTTCACCTCAGCTGGAAGTAACAGAACAAATCTAAACTATGTTCTAATGGACACTCAGAGGACGATGGGACAATTGCCACGTGAGGAGGGGCGTGACATCGGTAACGGGTGAACCTTCACCCGGTGGTGTAATCTGATGAGGTCATGCAGAAGGGTGCTTCTGTTTCTCAGAGGCTCCAAAATAGGATCCTGATCCCAAAATCTACTGTCAAACGATTCGGCTGAGGAATCATGGCCATGACGCACACGTTGATACATATTCAGTGGGGAAAGCTAAACACGGTGATCTAGTGGTGGCACACAGGGGACAGCTGCCTACTGGTTTCCAACTTTTCTCTGTGTCGGAGAAGCACATTCAGTACTTCCACCGAATGTGCTGGCAGACCAACTGCCAGTGAGGCCGGGGCCAGCAGGACCCTGAGCAGTAGGAGGCTGTCCACTAAGGCCTCAGTCACACCTGAAACCTGCAGAAATGAGAGGGTCATGGAGGACCTGGCAGGACCTAGGAGCACCCTTGATTCTCTGGGATCTTCTCTAGACTGAGGCAGGGGGAAGGAGGTGGAGCCCTGGGCACCACGTCTATTCAGGGTTGTGAGGTTTCTCCTTGTGAAGATTCTGGCCAGACTCGCTGCACAGGGCGGTCAAGGAAACAAAAGGCAGGACTTCCTGCACGTGATGGGGGAGGTCCTTCTGATAGCTGTGAATATGTTTCTCTTGTTGGTTGACAAATAAAGCTGTGTCAGCCTTTGGACAGGCAGGTTTTAAGCCAGGCAGAAAAATCCAACCGGGGACAGAAAAGGTAGTAGGCGGCGTCAGGGAGATCCCATGTAGCTACCGGGAAGGTAGGACACCTGGACACACTCTGGCAAGCCAAGACCATGTGGAGATACATAGATTAATAGAAATGGGTTAATAATTAAGAAAGATGTAGCCAATAAGAAGTCTGAGTTTCTTATGTTTTTATAATTAATATAAGCCTCTGTGTGTTTATTTGGGACTAAATGGCTGCAGCTGCGGGACCAGGCGGGACAGAAACTTCCGTCCACATACACATACACCATACAACTAGGAGCGGCTGGGCCATGGGTCCTCAGCAAGGGGGCTCACCTAGTCTTCTGAATAAAAAGGTCCTTTTCCTCATGCAGTTTGTCTATGAGGTTCAAGCTCCTCCGAAGGTGGAACGCTTGGACTTTGTCTTTAGTGGTTGTCTTCTTCATTTTCTTGGCATCCACGTCCTTCTCTTTTGGTGAACTTGGGGGAAAAAAGAAAAAAAAAAAAGACGGCACTTGCTTCGCACACAAACCACAGCCCTCAGCACCGCCACACAGTGCTCTCCACCCAGCATCTCCACAGCCCACTACACCTACAGCGCAGGAGGAGGAAGGACTGCAAGTCAAGGAATTACCAGCTGCATCCTAGGCCAGGGGTGTCCTCAAATTCCACAGGAGGCAGCTCCACCTCAAACTCTGGATCCTCTAACTGGATTCTTTCTAGAAATCAAGGGAACAGTCAAAACAAAAACCCCAACTGGAGCCCGAGTGTGGTGGCTCATGCCTATAATCCCAGCACCGGAAAAAAAAAAAAAAAAAAAGCAGGCGAGGTAGGAATTTCAGGTCAGGTCTAGGAAGCTGGAGGCCATCCTTGGCGAATTTGAGGCTCTGTCTACAAAACAAAGATACTATCGGAAGATGTATGCGCTAACATGCCTGGCCCAAGATGTACTTCTTAAAATTTTATTTTATCCTTTTGTGCACAAGACGGAATGCCAGCGGAATGGCTTAGTGCGTAAACGCGCCTGCTTGCCAAGCCCGATGACCTGAGTTCACTCTCCAGAACCCTCTGGCAAGTTGTCTCCTGACCTCCACACATGCATGCACACACACACAAGTAAATAAATGTAAAAAATGAATTTTGATTTTTTTAAAAGCTTGTTTGCTTGCATGTATGCGTGTGCCTGCAGAGGCCAGAAGATGGCGCCAGATGCCCGGGAACTAGAGTTAACAGACAGTCTGTTTGAGCTGCTATCTGGGTACTGAGACCTGAACCTGGGTCTTCTGCGACATCAGAAAGTACTCTTCACCACCCAGACACTTTTCCAACACCTATTTTTAAACATAATTGTTATTATTATTTTTTTTTAGAATTGCTGTCTTGAGAACAACACTGTAGACTTTAAAAAAAAAAAGGCATGGAAAATTACGGGATTATCTCCATGTCTTCATAACAGCTCTGTGAAAATTACTGGAAAGGCAAGGTAAAAGGCCGGAGTCTACCTCCGCAAGGAGGGTGGAGGAGGAGAGACTAGGTGAGAGGGCCACCTAGAGGAAGGAAAGGTCAGGGGCAGTGTGGAGCAGGGCGGGTCCTCACAGACCCAGACAATAGGGCCGAGGGATCAAGTTTGTAGGCTGAGAGGGACACCAAATCAAGGGTGTCTCAGAAAAAGTGTGGATCATCGGAAATTTTTTAATGAAATTAAAAAATCTTCCAAAAAAAATAGGCCACGTTCAAAGGGTTGGAATTATCAATGGTGACTTGGAAAATAGAAAAATACGGATGGCCACATCCAGGTTCTCAGCCATTATCTATCATTTATCGACTATAGACAAAAGCAGAAGTTCCCCGTTTGAGAAATAAGTGAATCCCGCATATGCATTTCCTGTGCTCTCCCTGGGATGAAGGGTGATCAAGGAGTGCACTATCTTCTATGCTGAAACTTGTCTGGAGTTTGGAAGAGGCCTCCGTTACCATCATCTATGGCAGGGAAGTTGTCCACCAGCTCCTCGTCGGAAAACTGGGCAGTAGGTTCTTCCATACTGGGAGACAGAAATTAACTGCAAAAAACATTGTAGAATATGTGTCAGCAAGATTATAGATTTAAAAACCCCTAACATTTATAAGAACTAAGGGTTCAGTGGCATACACAACTGCGGTATCAGTATTTAAGAAGCAGAGGAAGGGGTGATGTTTGAGGCCAGCAGTTGCTACATCACAGGACTCAAATATACAAAAAAGGTAATAATTTCTTTTATTAAGAAATTGTATAAGCTACAGGCTAAGGAAAAATATTTATAGCAGAGATATTTGGCAAAAGTTGTATCTAGACTATAGAGGTCCTAAATATCAACAAGACAAAACTACAGTTTTGAAAGGTCAAAGGAGTTATATGTCGCAAGAGAGAGGAGGAAGTGGTGAGTGGACCTGTTTGTTCACACATGCACTTATTAAGAATGATTTGGTATGATGGGATGGCTCGGCAGGCAAGGGCTTGTTGCCAAGCCTCACAATCTGAGCTCAATCCCAGCACCCACTTGGTAGGAGACAACTTGACTCTGACAGGTTGCCCTCTGACCACACGTGTCCTGTGTCACATACACATAGGTACATTTCTTAAATGTACTAAAAATTAAAAATTGGCACCAATGACCCAATTTACTCAACAAATAAACATCAGAGTAAGAAAAAGGTCAAAGGCCTTGAGGGACAAATCAGGCACATACCCTGTGAATACTGGGTTTGGCTATTGATTCAGGCAGACAACCGCAAATGAAATCCTTGAGATAATTCCTGAAAATTGGCGACAGGTGTTGGATTTTATTTATTTATTTATTTATTTATTTATTTTGGTTTTTCAAGACAGGGTTTCTCTGTGGCTTTGGAGGCTGTCCTGGAATTAGCTCTTGTAGACAAGGCTGGCCTCGAACTCACAGAGATCCGCCTGCCTCTGCCTCCTGAGTGCTGGGATTAAAGGCGTGCACCACCAACGCCCGATGGTGTTGGATTTTATTAAGAAGTTGCTGTTTTGTTGGAGCTGATATGATTTTGTGGTTTAGCTAAAAGTACAGAGGTGCACATGAAGGTTTTCCAAGAGAAATGAGGGTTTGCCCGATTGTCTTTACAGTGTGTCAGCTCCAATGGGAACAGGAGTAGACAGTACTGTTATGCTATGATTGGAGTCTAGGGTTCATATTACCCTTCCCCATATTTGTTTTGATTTCTCCAAGACTTTTTATTATTTTTTTATTATTTGTGTGTGTGTGTGTGTGTGTGTGTATGTGTGTGTGTGTGTGTGTGTACTTGAGGATGCCTGCAAAGGCCAGAAGAAGGTTTCAAATCTCCTGGAACCAGAGTTACAGGGTGTTGTAAACAGCTCGATATTGGCACTGGGAATTAAACTTCAATTCCCTGCAAGAGCCACAAGTGCCCTTAACAGTTCAAACATCTCCCCCGCCTCTGTCTCCTTATTCTTGTGATTGTGGAATTTTCTATAAGAAAAACAAATTGTAAGCAAACAAATGAATAAATAGGCTCAGGTTCAGCCACTGGAGACTTCCTATAGTCAATAAGTCAATTTTAGATTCACTGAATCGCGTCCGAGTTTCAGCAGGGGTGTGTACATGTGTACATACAACTGAGAAAAATAAATCAGACATTTTCCCAATGCATTTTAAAATATATGCAGAAAGACAATACATAATGTTGAAGGAGTGCAAGGGGGGAGTTCCCACCAATGTTGAGACTTATTATAAAGTTACAAAGTTAGAATGGTGCTGCGGCGAAGACAAACAGACCTACAGGGTGGGATAAGGAGTGTAGGACCTGCCAGCTAAAGGTGGACGCCACTTAGTGCAGCAGCATCCAATTGCTCATGCTGCCCGGCAGGACTGGGTGGTTTGTCCGTGGGTAAGCTGAGAAGGCCAGGCCCTTTCCTGGAAAATCAGCTCCAGGTGGATTAAAAGCTCATCTCTGGAGAGTGAAACCACCACAGTGCCAGTGGCCAAGGGGAGTCGTGACCTCAAGGTTTCTAATTAAAGCACCAAAGACATCAGAGATGGGAGAAAATGCTGGCGGAGTCACATATATTTGAACTTAAAACTTCTGGCCAGATGGCAGCCCGAGGGGATCCAGAGAAAGATCCATAACTTAAAAGGTTTACCACCAAGACCACGAAAAGGACCCACTGAGTTTACGCAGAACACGCTGACCAGAAGGAACACAGGCAGATGCTTTATTATCAGGAGCCTTATAGTAAGGGACGTTTCAGCCAGGACATGCGGCAGCCAAGAATCCAGTTCACCAGCGTGCCTGGCTGTGCATCCTAGTGTTATTAATAGAGTCCTCTTTTTGGATGATAAACTATCTCATGATTGTAACTGAAGAAAAGTTGCTCGACATCATCTGTGGTAAGGGAACTGCAAAGTTACAGTGAGCTATCATTCCACACTGTCAGCCTGGGGAGCACAGAGATCTCGCAGGTGCTGGTGAGGTCACGAAACAGTGAAAACGTGATCTAGCAACAGTAAAACCGAGAGGTGGGGCTTTTGGCATTAGACCTTAACAGCTAGGCATTATACAGGAAAAAAAAAAAAAAGAGAGAGGACAAACCCTTTGCTCCTCCCATTTTTAAAAGTGAATCACTACATAGTTGCCGTAGTAAAACAGCACAAAATTTATCTCATTGTACCCTTTGGGGGCTGCATATCAGATGTCTACATTACAATTTATTAACAGCAGACAAATTACCGTTGTGAAGTAACAGTGAAACAGTTTTGTGGTTGGGGGGCTGTCTTAGGGTTTCTGTTGCTGTGAATAGACACCATGACCGCAGTAACTCTTATACGGGAAAACGCTTAGTCGTGGTGACTGGCTTGCAGTTCGGAGGGAGATTCAGTCCATTATCATCTTGGTAGGACGCGGCAGGCGGTGTGCCGGCAGACGTGGTGCTACTGGAGCTGAGAGTGCTAGAGTGTGGTCTTGCAGGCAACAGGAAGTGAACTGTCTCACTGGGCGTGGCTTGAGCATGTGTGAGCCCTCAAAGCCCGCCTCCAAAAAGGTCACACCTCCCATTAGTGCCACGCCCTTACGGGGCCATTTTCTTTCACACCACCACAGGGAATTGTGGAATTGTATTGAAGGGCTGAGAACCCATGTTCTAGGGCCAGGCATCTGGGTCTCAGTGATCTAAGGCCACAGTGTCAACATTGTGTGTGGAATCAGTTTGCTACAATTACTGCCGTCTTTTTTTTTTTTTAGATTTATTTATTATGTATGCAATGTTCCGCCTCCATGTATCATCCTCTCCAGCTCCAAACTCGTTCTTTCTGTACTATGCCTGTTTGTCTTAAGAGCCGGGTACGGGGCTGAAGAGATGGCTCAGAGGTTAAGAGCACTGACTGTTCTTCCAGAGGTCCTGAGTTCAATTCCCAGTAACCACATGGTGGCTTCCAACCACCTTGAATGAATGAAATCTGGTGCCCTCTGCTGGCAAGCAGAAGACCGTACACACAATAAATAAAATAAAATAAAATAAGAGCTGGGTACGATGGCACACAATTGTAATCCCAGCTTTCAGGCGGATTATGAGTTCACGGCTGTAATGAGATCTAGCACCCTCTTCTGGCCCATGGGCATGCAGACAGATGCTGTATACTAAATAAATAAATCTAGAAAAAAATTTTTTTTAGAAAGAACGAGTTTGCTTTTGCTCTAGTGCACAGATATTCTACTCTTTTTGCCTCCCCCCCAATTTTTGACTCAGACTGCACACTTCCATCTGGTCTGCTCCATCTAGGACCACACTTGCAAGCTCCTCCCATCCCCCAGCACCCCCATCCCATAGTCAACTGCACTTGGTACGACCCTAGGTTTGCCTTTCTCTTCTTTGCAAAGTCTCGTGGCGCTTTGAGTCGTCCAGTCCTAATAAGTGTCGGAACTGGGTCGTTCTGGAACAGCGGGGCTGTGTGCCTTCTTGGAAGCCAGAGAGAGAGAGAGACAGACAGACAGACAGACAGACAGACAGACAGACAGACAGAGAGTCTGTTTTCTTGCTTTTTTCACTTCTTGTCTAGAGCTGCTTTCAACCCTGGGTACCCAGTCCTCATTCTGACACGCTCAAAGCCGCAACGTCAGCCGAGTCAACCACGCTGTATCCTTTGATGCTCCCTTTCCAGCCTGCCTTTGCCTCTTACACGGCCTTTTAAGTGTAACTGCCCTGGTCCTACTGCAATGACCCAGGATGATGCTTCCATCTCAGAGGCAGCTCCATGAAACCACCTCAGGCCCTCTTAGCCGCAGGACATGGTGTCGGGTGTCTCTGGAGGCACTGTGCTGCCTTACCCTACCTTCTGAAGCAAGAGGCTCTCTTCTGAGAGGGACACCCGTACGCTTTTACGTGAGAGAAATGTATCCTGTCAGCCTTGGAACCAAAAGTTTATGTTTGTTTTTAAGACAGGGATCCAGGCTGGGCAGTGGTGGTGCACGCCTTCAGTCCCAGCACTCGGGAGGCAGAGGCAGGTGGATCTCTGAGTTCAAAGCCTAGTGTGGTCTACAAAGAGAGAGAGAGAGAGAATTCCAGGACAGTCAGGGCTACACAGAGAAACCCCGCCTTGGAAAACCAACCAACCAATCAACAAAAAGTACTGTTCAAGAATAAATTTCAAATCTAACGGTGAGCAAAGATTTTGGTTACACATGGGTAGAAATGAGGACCCCAGGTCAGTGCCTGGTTAACCAGGCGAGAGAGTTAATGTGTTGTGGGTGAAGACGAGATTCTGTTTATTGGCTTGGGCTGGCTTTTGATATTTGCTCGATAATAGGTTCTCAAATTGTACCCAAGAAGTTAGGCATCATTTGTCTGAAGAGAGCATCCCTCAGCGAGTACCTGAGCAGCTATGCTCACTACGTAGCTCAGAACCTGGCCCACAGCAGACATTCAGGGAGTGTTTTGCTAAGCATCTTTGCTCAGATAAAGGGATTATTTTATGGGAAACCAAGCTGAGGAGGCCTACCCACTTCCAAGGAACCGTCCTGTATAGTGTTGGATCTTACTCGCATTCCTCAGACGGGTGCCTGGCCCTCTTCAGCAAGGTTTGATCCTGCCTCTTCATAAACTGTGGCAACCACAGCCATGCAGCACACAGAGAAGCCAGCCACCCACGTCCAGCACATCCCTCAGGGCAGACCCTGGCAGAACTCGTTATCAGTACCCACCTTCTGGCCAGTCCAGGAATGTCTCTCAGCGATGAGACTTCAGCAAAGGTCCCCCAGGGAAGGACTGTTGCCCAAACCCCTCAGGAATGGCTCCACGGTATCCACGGTAGTGGTCCTACAGCAACAGCCCCTAAAGAGCGGTCCCTGGAGACAGGCCCCTTAGCAATGGTCCCTCCCAAATGACCCCAGGCAGTGGTCCCGCAGAAGGGTCCCCCCACCCTGGAAACAGCTCCTGGGCGACGGTTCCTCAAGCAGCGGCCCCGGAGGAACAGCTCCTTGGCACCAGCCCCTCAGGAACGGTCCCTTGACGATGTCCCCTTAACCTCCTGCCTCTCAGCCACCGTCGGTCGGAGGCTGCGTCGTCGTTTGGGCCCGCAGCTCCATGGCAACGGAAGGCTGCGTCTTGGCGGAGAGCAGGGTGGCTCCAAAAGAGCCGGCGCGCGCGCAGGCGTAGTGCAGCCGTGCTAGCTGTCCTGGGGGCTGAGTCGGACTTAACGGTTGCCCCTGGAGACTGGTGCTTGATGACTTGGCTAAAGCCAGTTGAAACTTGGGTCAGCTGCTAACTTAAAAATAAAAGAACGTTTACACGAGAGTCGGACTCTCTCTCTCTCTCTCTCTCTCTCTCTCCTTCCCCCTCCCTCTCCCTCTCTCAAGAAAGACTGGTGCTGTATGCTTGACTGTTTTGAATCCGAATTCCTCCAGCTCTCCTAGGTCCTAGGCAGCCAGCGTCCTGCCCTCTGATTCCTCTGTGTGACCCACCGGGCCCTTTGGAGTTGTGTTTGGTCATTTAGGTTGGCGTTGTCGCCAGTCCGGGCCAGAGATGGGCTCAACAGTGGACAGGACAGGACAGGACAGGACAGGACAGGACAGGACAGGACAGGACAGGACAGGACAGGACAAGACAGGACCGACATCCAGGTTACAGGGATGACTGGCGACTCCCTTAGTTTTATCTTGGAGATGGAGAACCTTCAGCTTCAAGGAGTCCTAAAAAAGTCCAGAGGCTTTGGAAGTCTCCGTGGAGACTGGTGGGGAATACTTTTGCACTCTTTACTGCAGCCAGACACTTTGCCTCTCAAATCGTAAGCTTGGGGAATACCGCTGCAATACTGTTAGCCCCTTATAGGTGTGTGTGTGTGTGTGTGCGTGTGTGTGTGCGCGCACGCGCGCGCGTGCGTGCGTGTGTGTGCGTGCGTGTGTGTGTGTGCAGTACCCACACTGGGCAGCTTACAACCACCTGTAACTTTACCACCAGATGACTGGACATACTCTTCTGGTCTCCAAGGGCACCTGCACATACATATATGGCATACACATACACAGACATACACACATATGTATGAAAAGAAATAAAAAGTAAAAAATAAATAAATTAGGGGCTGTAGAGATGGTTCAGAGGTTAGGAGCCCTGGTTGCTCTTCCAGAGGACACCAGTTAGGTTCCCAACACCCAAGTCAGTCACTCAAAACCCTCTGTAATTCCAGCTCCAGGAGATCTAAGGCCTTCTTCTGGACTCTGAAGGCAACTGCAATCACACACACACACACACACACACACACACACACACACACACACACACACCCCACACTTTTAAAATAAAACAAATCTTCAAGAAAAAGTAAAAATTTTATCCCAGCACTTGGGAGGCAGAGGCAGGCGGATCTACAGAGCGAGTTCCAGGACAGCCTCCAAAACAATACAGAGAAACCCTGTCTCGAAAAACCAAAAAAAAAAAAAAAAAGAAAGAAAAAAGAAAAAAAAAGAAAAGAAAAAGTAAAAATTTTTATTTTTAGATTTGTTAATTTTATTTTGTATGTATGAGTTTTGTGACTATGAATATGTATGTGTACTACCTGGTGCCTTCAAGGTTTAGAAGATGGTGTCACATCCCCTAGGACTGGAATTACAGATGTCTGCAAGCCACCATGTGAGCACTGGTAACTGAATCCAGGTTTTCTGTAACAGCAACAAATGCTCTTAAGTGTTCAACTATCTCTCTAGTTCCTAAAACAATTAAAAAAGAAGAAGAAGATGAATTGGCAGTGTAACTCAGTGGTACAGCAGTCATATCACATGTGTGGTGTCCTAGGTTCACATGTGCAGCAAAACACACAAATAAATACATACATGAAAAAATAAAGGGGCCTGGCTGTGGCAACCCCACACCTTTAATCCCAGCACTCGGGAGGCAGATGCAGGGGGATTTCTGTGAGTTTGAAGATAACCTTGTCTGCAGAGTGAGCTCCAGGACAGGCTCCAAAGCTACGCAGACAAACCCTGTCTCAAAAAAAAAAAAGACAAAACAAAAACAAAAAACAAATAAACAAAAAACAAAAACCATAGCAAATGGAAAGCAGTTTCATAATTAATATAGCGTCCTGTGTGCTTATTTGGGACTGACGTGGCTCTAGGAACAGGCTGGCGGGAAGAATGCTTGTTACACCTTCAAACGTTTTGTGGGGGCCTGGAGAGGTGGCTCAGAGGTTAAGAGCACTGACTGTTCTTCCAAAGGTCCCGAGTTCAATTCTCAGAAACCACATGGTGGCTCACAACCATCTGTAATGAGATCTGGTGCCCTCTTCTGGCAGAACACTGTATATGTAATTAATAAATACATCTTTAAAAAAACATTTTGTGGAAATAGAAAATTAAAAAAAAAGGGTTGGGTGTTGGGGGTGCACGCCTTTAATCCCAGCACTCGGGAGGCAGAGGTAGGCAGATCTCTGTGAGTTCGAGGCCACCTGGTCTACAGAGCAAGTTCCAGGACAGCCTGCAAAACAATACAGAGAAACCCTGTCCCAAAAAACAAAACAAAAAAACACCACAAACTGGGTGAAAATATTTGTAAAACATCTTTCTAAAACTAACATAACTACTCAGTTCAACAAATAGAAGGCACATAGCCTCATTGTTTTAATTAGTAAGAAATTAAAAGAAAACATTTAAAAAGACAAATGTATCACCTTAGTCACTGAGAAAAATTTCACATAATCTGCAGTGAGAAACCCCTTCCTAGCTGTAGATTGGCCCAAATTAGAGATTTGCAATGTTAAGTGTTGGTGGGGAGGCGAAACAACATGAAATCTCACACATAGAGGTGGGAGCACTAAATGGTGCAGCCACTTCTGGAGAGCAGATTGGCAGTCTGTTATAAATTAAGCATTTGTTCCCCCTAGCAGTCCTACACCTACATATTTATTCAAAAGAAATGAAAACATATGTCCACTCAAAGACTTGTACTTGAATGTTCGAAGCATTTTCTAAACTGGATACCCAAAAGACCATCAACAGGTGCGGAGTTAAACAAAGTAAAGTGTATTCGGGGCAATACAGCTCAGCAGCAAAAATAACGAGCACAGCCAGGCATGGTGGTGCTCGCCTTAAATCCCAGAACTCAGAAGGCAAAGGCAAGCAGCTTTCTGTGAGTTCAGTACACGCACATAGCAAGTTCCAGGCTCACTGGGGGCTACATGACGAGACTCTGCCATCCCTCCCCACCCCACAAAATGCTCACGCATGCAGCAGTGAATGTTTGATTTTTCCCAACTGTGCAGTCGGATGCCACCTGAGGATTTTTCAGGGGCTCGGGTCTTCACAAGGCATTACCCACATCCAAGTTCACTGAGACAGGGAGGCAGGATTTATGTCCTATATCTGGGGGCTGGGGCCTGTGCTCCTCCTGGCTGTGAGTTTGTCAAAGCTGCCCTCATTTCCTGCTCTGCCATCCGTCAGCTCACAATGAGCAGGGGCTTCATCAAAGAACAGAAACACCAGCTATGCCTGTAAGACTTAAGCCGGTGGCTTTTACAACCAAGTCTGGTGATTCCTTATCACCCCAGAGACTATCATTACAATTCACCGGCTCCAGATCATACAACGGGAAACGGGTTCTAAGAACAAGAGGCAGGATAACTGGAAGCAACTTTGGGAGGCTACCTATTCCAGTTTCATACTGTGTGTGACTCCATTTGTAAAGAATGAAAACAAATAATGACAGAAATCCTACCTTAAGTGTCTTTTTATTTTTTTAAGACAGGGTCTTGTTATGTAAACTACTTGGCTTGGAACATGCTGCTGTACACTAAGCTGGTCTTGAACTCTTCTACCTCAGTCTCCTGAGTGCTAGGACTGCAGGTATTCACCGCCATGCCTAGCCAGTAGACCTTTGCTCCTCCAACATCGGCATACATAATCAAAGAATCCAGGTCCAAAAGACAGGCCAATGGTAATCCTTCTTCACAAGGTGCCCCAGGGCAGTAGCAGAAGCTCTTGTATATTAACTCTAGTGTTGGATCTCCTTAGTAGCCATTTTTAGAAGTTTCTGTGGCACAGACTCAATCATGCTCATGTCTAAAGTTTTTCACCCTTGATTGACAGCTCCTTTGTTAGAAATGTTAATTTGTGTATAATGTTTTCTATCATGGGAAAGACTTCAAAATGTCACTTTCAAAATAAAATTTGAGAATAGAATTCTGACTTCTCTACATTAAACTCAAATAGTGGTACTTTGATGCTGTCTTGCTCAGGGCAAGAACAAATAAATGTTCTACGTGTCCCAGGTAACTCTTCAGTGGTGCTTGGGACTGAGGTTACTAATGAAGCCACAGTGAAGCCCTTTTCTGAGTGGACTGCATGCTTTCTTAGAGTAGACTCCGGAGTTTAGTCTGCTCCAAGTGTTTCGTACATGATCCTCCCTGCCAAGTTTCTCCTGCTTATCCATACGAACAACTCGAACTGAAAAATCACAGGATTAATAATTACACTCTGCGCTCAATGAAATCCTGTTTGCATCACTGTCATTTTTCTCTATTTAGTGCATCCCCCCCCCCAGGAAAATAACAAAGCAACTTCACAAATGCGTCAGGCAAGGGTTTTAAATTTAGGCTAATGCAGTTTCCTCTTGCAGGCTGTGTGACTCACCTCTACCTCCTGGGGCCAACCTGCTGCTGTGACATTGCAGTAATGGGCTTAAGCCAGCTCCCCTGCCCAAGCCTCATTCTTCTTCCCTCCCTTCCTATGTGCTGGGTGTACCGACAAAGTGGTCATCCAAACCAAAGGCAATGGAGACGGCGGACCAGTCATATATGATTGTTGAGCTCGCCAGAAGGTTATCCTCCGTGGCTTTTTCAGTGCCGTGTGGGGCAGCATTTTCAACCCTCCAGGTGTCCTGCTCAGCAGCTCCGTTTGGGGGAGAGCAACCTGCCTCCCTGCCCAGAACGAAGAGACGCTGACAGCAGCCATTGCCTGGATTATCCAACCAAGGGCTTTGAAGAGATTCTACCCGATTGCATGCCAAATAAGCAGTAATGGGTGTGTATTTGCGGGTCTCCTTTCTTTGACAAAACACCTGATAAGGGCTTGGAGGTGGAGGCTCACGCCTTTAATCCCAGCACTCGGGAGGCAGAGGCAGGTGGATCTCTGTGATTTGAATGCAGCCTCGTCTACAGAGTGAGTTCCAGGACAGGCTCCAAAGCTACATAGAGAAAAACCCTGTCTCAAAACAAAACAAAAACCCCTCAAGGGCAATGTAGAGAAGGAAGGTCTTATTTTAGCTCACAATTTAAAAGCACAGACTGTCACAGAGGGGGAAGTGTGGCAGGGAAAGCAGCTCTAGCTGTGGCTTCAGGAGTGAGGCAGCTGGTCACATTGCATCGAGAGACACTGGTGCTCAGCTTTCTTTCTCTTTTGTCCCTTTCCGTTACTCAGGTTGGGACTCCAGCCTATGGAATGGTGCCACTGACATGCAGGGCGAGTCTTCCATTTGCAGCTGAACCATTCTGAAATCACCTGCACAGAAACTCCCAAAGGTGCGTCCCCTCGGCGGTTCCTCATCTAAGCAAGTTGACAGTGAAGCTGAATCGTCTGAAGCAGGCACCTGAAGAATGAATAGTGATAGGGATCAAATGAGTAGGCTTAAAATCCCAGTTTCATTTCTACTATTGTTCTTTAAAAATTTTTTGTTTGTTTTCATTTTACGTGTATGAATGTTTGCATGCGTCAATGTGCACTGCATGAGTGCCTGGTTGGACGGACTACGGATGCCCTGGAACTAGATGGTTGTGAGCTGCTATATGGACGCTGGGAATTAAACCCAGCTCCTCTGCAAGAGTAGCAACTGCTAGTCTTTGGTGGAGCACACCTTTACTCCCAGCACTCGAGAGGCAGAGGCAGGTGGATTTCTGTGAGTTCCAGATCAGCCTGGTCTACAAGAGCTAGTTCCAGGACAGCCTCCAAAACCATGGAGGAACCCTGTCTCGGAAAAAAAAGAAAAAAGAAAAAAAGAAAAAAGAGAGTAGCAACTGCTTTTGAATATAGCAGCATAGATTAAGATACATGGGACTTGGTTAAATACAGGTTAATTTTATTCAGGGAAAAGTCACTTACATAAGGAACCGATGACCCACAAGTTCCAGCTCCAAGGACCCACACCCAGGCTGCTCTCTGTGACCCGACTGGAACCAAGAGAGAGTGAGCCTGTCCTGGACCCCAGACCAAATACCACACACTCCCGTATTTTAGCACCTGTGACCACGCCCTAAGGGGCGTGGTCAGCGCCACAGATGAGGCTGGGTGGATCTCTCACTACATTTAATCATTGAGCCATCTCTCCAGTCCCACTTTACTAGTATTCTATCAGAGTAGCAGGCCCCCTAATCCATACTCTAAGTGCACCAAGACTAGAAGAGGGGCTTCCTGAGGTACTTGGAAAAGAACGCACACCTTGGAGACAGACAGCAGTGATGGAGACTTTGTGCTTTGTGATAGCCGACCGTGAGTGGGGCTCTCCCTCAGAGCAATAATGGGAGTGGTGTGGAAGAGTGTATGAGAACAACCTGTCTGCAGAGGAATAAGCCAGCCAGGCATGTTAGAAACAGCCCGAGACTCTACCAGTCATGCAGGACCAACGCTCTGTTTCCTCTTGGGTTAGTATGCTCCATGGTTGGCTTTCCCGAGTCCCACAGTAGGGCCCACATTAGAGATGAAGGTGGAGGGATAACTTGTTATCCATATTGGTGGGGAGGAACCCAAAGCTCAGAGACCGCTTTTCAGAAATCTTGCTAGGAACAAGCTTGTAATCCCGGGACTTGAGGGGAAGCGGGATGACCAGAGTTCAAAGTCATCCGTAGCTATATAACAAGTTCAAGGGCAGCCTGCACTACAACAGACCCTGCCTCGGGAATGAAACAAAACAATAAAAACATGTCTAAGGCGTGCCTTGTGCTAGAAGCTCCGTAACGTCATCCTTTTCTAAACACCTCTGTCTGAGCAGCTCTAGCTAGTGACTGGTCATCCCCAGGGGGCTTATGCCATTTGAGTTAAAACGTTCTTGCTGTGTTGTTTAGGCTCGATCTAAATAACTGATCTGCTTCAAGTCTACCAAGTAGCTGGAACTCCAGGGATACAGCACTGATAGGTTGACTGCGCATTTTAAAATGTTCCCCGAGATCCCAGGCATCCAGTGAGGTCATCAGTAAGGGGGCTGAACAATGGCTGAAGTTTGTAATTAGCCTTTAAAGACGGCAGCTCACACCTGTCTGTAACTCCAGTTCCAGGGCTCCTGACACCTACATACAGGCAGGCAAAAAACACCAATGAACACAAAATTAAAATAATTTATGTATTTTTGTAAAAGTGAATCCTCCAACACATTGCTGTCTAAAGGATTAAAGGGGTAGATGTGTCCAGAGGAGAGCACACTAACTGGTTATCCAAATACCGGATGATCATCCTTGAAAACAAAATACAAGTAACGTTATATAGATTGAGCAGGTGATATTTAGGCATATATGTATTCACATAAACATGTTTGCGTGTAACATCAATTAATAAAAATAGAGGCCATGAATTTGAAAGAGAGGGGAGAGGAGTATATGTTGGAGGAGTATAAGAGGTTGGAGGGAGGAAAGGGAAGGGTAAAATGACAGAATTATATTATAATTTCAAAAGCAAAAAAGATAATTTTTTAAAAACTGAAGATGTGTGAGCCTTCTGCTTTCCAATGGAGGATCAGTATTTTAGCATTGTCAGCAGGGCCTGTCTTAAGGTGAGATGGGACCTGACCATTCCAGACTCAGGTTATCAGTGTCCTCTCTTGTCCAGTAGGTTTTTTTACCGCAGCTCTAACTCCGGGATGAGGTTTTGTACTACTTGTCCAACGACGAAGTCCACGCAAGTCTTGCGCCCTGGTCGCTTGTGCTCCTGGCAGACACGTGGACGAACCTGTTTGTTGACAGCAAGGGCAGCAGTTGGAGGGTCTGGGTCGCCTCATTCCTGGAGGGCGATGGAGAGGACAGGGCGCGCGCTGGAGGCTTAGGGAGCGCTATGGAGCAACCAGAGGGTGTTTTGGGGGCACGCAGAAGCCTCCCGGGTTGGTGGGGCGCGCAAGCGGGGGCGGGACTGGAGCGCGGGGCGGGACGGGGCGGGGCGGGGCGGGGCGGGCTGGGCGATCCGTCCTCCCCTCGCGCCCGCCTGCGACACTCTCCTTCGCGCTCCCGCCCTTCTGGTGCCGCCGCGCGGCCACAGGGCGAAGCAACTTTGCTCGAGCTGGGGCTGGCCGGACCTGTCCCGCGCAGAACCCACAAGGCCATGGACGTGTTGGGTTGGCTGCTGCCGCCGCTCCTGCTGCTGGGCGCGCAGCCGCATCACGGCGCCAGGTGAGCGTCTCCCGGGCCGGGGACGATGTGGGGCGGGAGGGACTCGTCCTTTGGCGGGCGCCCTCGGTGGGGCAGAGTTTGGAGTTGTCAGGACCCTGAGTCTTCACCCCCAGGTCCACCCGGGTCTGCTTTGCGCGTGCTGTCCTCCCAGTTCTGGGGACCCCGCCGACCTCTCTCGGGTGCCCGGGTGCTGTCCGTCGTCCCCGGTGCTGAACGCTGCGCTGCGGGGAGGGATTGGAGTCTCCAGGGCAGGTTAATATGGACAGCTCTCTCCATCCTTGGCCTTGACCGCTTCTCCCAGAGCTGGTTCCTGCCCCGTTTGGTGCCTTTCCAGGTGCTGAGAGGAATGAAGCTCGGTAGGGTGAGCTGAAGGCAAAAAGAAGGGAAAGACTTAAGAATCAGGGGGGAGGGGCAGTGGGGGAGCAGGTCTGCCCTTGACAAGAGTCAGGAGAAATGACCACCCAGTGCCTCCGGCTTGGATGGACGCCTCAGGAAGATTTGTCTCAACCCTGTCACTAGGGAGGAGGCAACTGTGGGACTCCTTTCAAGAGTCACTTCGGAGTTTATGGACTGAATCCTGACTGCAGGTGAATGACGTCCAAGTAGTCCCGTTGCATACCCACCATGGAAGGTGACTATATTCTGGGGGAAGAAGGAGGACTGTTCCCCCAGAGCGAGAAGAGTCTGAGAAGGGAAGCCTTTGGCTGGACTTCCCTCTCCGTAGCCTCCAACACCCCACAGTCCCCGTCTTCTTTCTCTGGTCACTGGAGCCTAAAATCCAACCTTGGTCATCTTGGACAGAGCCAGCTGCCAGGAGAGTCATGAGTGAGGGGCCCTTGTGAAGATCATTTGGATGAAGAGGCAGCTGACAATCAACACAGGTCCCTTGTGCTCTGGACTTGATGGCCAAGTGACTGATGGACATGGAAAGGGGTTGGACCACAGATGCGGCTGCATGCCAGCTGTATGTTGGCCATAGATACCCAGGAAGCAGGTCCTGCAGGTGTCTTGAGTTTCTCTGTTGGCAGGTGGGGACAGGTCCGGAAGGCCTAGGTCTGGCTGCAAACGTTATAACTAGGTTGGGAACCAAAGAGTGGGCACTTACCGCGAGCCTCTGATCAGCCGGTGCCCTGGAAAGGGCTTTGTTCCTCCTTTAGTCCCTGTGGGCTTTACTTCCCTTCTTTTCAAAAAAAGGAGGGTAAAGCAAAACATCACAGCTGTGGCTGTCATGTTTGAGACCCTGGGGTCAGATGTTGGCCCTTTCCACGGCCACGTGGCCAAGAATTTGAAGCTCGAGAGGCTCTTACACCCCCAACATTTTAGTCTGAGAATGATTCCAAAACTTGTTTCCAGATCCTGTCCTGTGCTGACATGAAGCTCATTTTTGTGTCTATTTATTCTATTTACAGGACCTATTTATAGGTTACTTGCTGGGAAACTCTCCAGACCCCCTCCCTCGAGTCTGCGTGCGTAGCCTATCCCCTTCCTCAAATTAAAAAACAAAAAAACAAAGCAAAAAGAAATTCTAAACCCTGGCTTGTGGGAAGCTTCTGCGGTATTGGGTGAGGGGGGCTGTGTACCTGTTCTCTTGTGCAGAAAAGCTGGAGGGGCTCAAGCCTGAGACTTGTCATTATCCCAGTCTTTTTTTTTTTTTTTTTTTTTTTTTGGTTTTTCGAGACAGGGTTTCTCTGTGGCTTTGGAGGCTGTCCTGGAACTAGCTCTTGTAGACCAGGCTGGCCTCGAACTCACAGAGATCCACCTGCCTCTGCCTCCCAAGTGCTGGGATTAAAGGCGTGCGCCACCAACGCCCGGCCCATTATCCCAGTCTTAACGTGGAACAGCGCCATGAATAAAGTGGAGGGTGCTACCGCTCCGCTGAGCGTCCATTTCATCCTCTAACCGGAAAATAGTCGCCGTCTTGCCATAGTTTAAAAGTTTATCCCCAGAAGGTTCTGTCCTGACTTCATCCTTGGCCTGGCCTGACAGTAACACAATGTGGAGCAGGCTGGCAGGGCTAAAGGACCTCTCCAGGGTGGGGGAGAAGCCAAGGACACAGCTGCCAGCTCAGTCCTTGTGGTGACCTTCAGGGTTAGCAAGGTGCTGACCGCACAGGGTCTCCCACTCCCCCACCTTTTCTGGCCCTTCCGCTTTAGGCAGCTTCCCCTCTCCTCCTAGTCTCCAGATTCCCCTCAGTGGGGAAGACGGTGTGATAGGAGAAAGTGTGCATGTGTCATGTTTATGGGCTGGACACAGAGTGCGAAGACCTGCATAGGAGAGTGGGCACCGAGCTTGTCAACCGCACGCCCCGTGTGGGTGTCCCTCCCAGGCTGCTGGCACCTCCCTCTCTCTGGCGCTCACGGTGCGATGGTCGCGATACTCTTCTTTGCCTTGGTAACTGGGATGCTAGCAAGGAGCATGCTGCTCTAAAAGTGGAGCTGTGGGATCCGTGGGCTTGTGTGTGTGCGCGCAGTGGATGCATGCTGCAGTGAGGAGCAGCCGCTGCTTGCCTCAGCTGCACCCACCTTCCCTCTCTGTCTCCAGCGGCACGGGGTGGGTGGGTTCATTTCTCAGTGGGGGAGGAAGGGAGGGAGTTCCCATAACACACCAGAAAGTAGATCAAGGGGGGCAGCTAACGTGTTTTCACTGGATCTTCTCTGCCCCCACCCCCCGAGACTTTGAATCTCTAAACCAAAGCCTGATATGTGTCTACGAGTCTCCCTGTCCATCTATTCAAATAACATCCCAGTCTCAGGCTATCAGTGGTCTCCAAGCTGGGAGAACCAGCAGCCCTTTGCCAAGATAACTGTGACTTGCTAGTTAAGAATGGAGACCTTTCCGCCTCATGTTATGGTCCTTGGGTGCAGAATGTGTGTGCTCCTGCCCATTAGCACGCCTGCTTTGTGACGCCTGTCATGAGCCAGTGAATAAGAGCGGAGCTGTGGGAACTGTGAGCTTCAGATCCCAGAATCTGGCATGCGGATGAGCCTCCCTCACACCCCAGTCCTCTATACTTAAGCACAGCTGGAAAAAATGGCGGCTGTCCTCCAAGCAGAGAAGAGACGCTGACTGGCGGGAGCCAAGTCTCCTTCTTTCTTGCTCCTAGAACGCGGTTTAGTGCTGTGGCTCTGCCAATTCAAGGTGATCTTCCTGAAGGCTTACTTTCATGCCCCAAGCAGACCTTGGACAAAGATAGAGGAGAAATATGAAGACGTGCGCCTCTGCTCCGAGACAGGGCCAGGAAGGACACTGTCTCCTGATGGCCTCATTCCACACTGGCTGGGTGACAGCTGGGCTGTCCAAAAATAAAGCCCATTTCAAGTCCCTTCACATCTGGCCTTCAGGATGACTTCCATTTGCATCCCTAATTGTACTTTGTGAGAGATTGGGGCCTTAATTTAACTGTTTCATAGCTTGTAACACATGTTGTCTCATCCCAGGCTCCATCTCTCTCTCTCTCCAGGGAGCTGCCGGGGAGCAATCTTTCTCTCTTTGGAATAAACAATAGACACAGACACCTTTTCCTGCCCACCGTGATGGGCTGAAGTAGCAGGACTTGGTAGATCAGAAATTTGGAAATTTCTGCTAGCTAGGAATTTTGATACCCAGCCAGCGTCTTCAAAGCCTGGTATACGAAGCAGATGAAAGAAATACGGGATAGATAGTGGAGGCTTGGGCCGTCTACTACTGGTGCCTCCCCAACTCGGGAAGACTTTAAGGCTCCTAAGACACACCTAAGGGTAAACCAAGTCATAGGGACATGGTCTGACCATGTGCAGAGAAAGGCAAAGCTGCGTCTGGCTCCCCAGGTCACTTTAGCTCTAGCAGAGCTGTGTAGGGTTTTGATGTTGTTTTTATTGTTTCTCCACCCACACCCCTCCCCATTTTGGTTCTTTGTAACAGGAACTCATGTAGTTCAGTCTGGCCTTAAATCCCTGATCCTCCTACCCCCACCTCTGAGATCATGGGCATGTGCCCCCCATACTTGACAGAACTGTGTGTGTAAAATGTGAATTTAACTGAGACCTGCTGTTCAGAGTCACTGCCCTGACTCTCCACATCGAAGCTTTTCCTGTCTCCAGGGTCCTTCATATCTACCTCTGCTCTGCCATGGAAAATCCAGAACCTTCTCCATCCCTCTGTCACTTTCTCCAGAAGGCTGTCCCTCTGTATAGCCTCTAGCCTCCCCCACCTCCCCCTCCTACAGAATGCAACATTCTTGACACCTCTTGCATTGTCTCTTCCCATGAGACTGGACCCTCTACCTAACCTGGGCTGTTGACTAGTTGTCTGTGGCTTGGCCTTAGAGAGGAGCTGATTTATGGTCTGGAGAGATGGCTCAGTTGGTAAAGTGCTTGGCACACAAACAATAAGGCCCTGAGTTTGGACCCTATCGCATAAGAATAAGTGCTGGTTTAATCCCAGAAATGTGAAGGCACATATGGGATCTCTTGGGCAACCAGACCCTAGGTCGCCAAGTGTGCCTTACCAGGTGTCTTCCAGGTTACTGAGAGATGCTCACATAGAGAAGCAGGCAATGCAAGGAGGAGATCCAGGCATTCAGTGCCTAGGAAGGCTGAGGGGACTGTTATGGCGGCCTGGTGGTGGTGGTGGTGACCCAGCAAGAGGCCTCATTTCTGCTAGTGCCCAGGTAGGGCTGGCTCAGACCTTCTCCACTGTCCCAGACCAAGGGAGTTACTCTCCTGTCCCTGGAACAGGAAGGTCAGAATAACAAGAGGTCCACTGAGAGAATGGTTAAGGAGATCTGTTAAGGAGATCTTGTTAAGGAGATCTGTTGATCTTCTGGAAGGAAGGAATTCTGCCAAGAGATGTAGGCAATTTAAATGGAAGTCTATTTGGCAAAGCAAGCACTCTCAAAGAGACTGGAGTGGGCTTCACGAAGGCAAAGAGCAGCTCAATCTTAAAGATGCTTTCATTGAATATTTTATGAGGTGGGCAGTATGTTAATGGGGGCAAGATAACACTTTTCCCCTCTCAAATCCTGGTGGACAGGAATCGTCCTTTTAGGATATTTCTTTCTTTTTTCTTTTTGGTTTTTCGAGACAGTGTTTCTCTGTATTGTTTTGGAGGCTGTCCTGGAACTCGCTCTGTAGACCAGGCTGGCCTCGAACTCACAGAGATCCATCTGCCTCTGCCTCCTGAGTGCTGGGACTAAAGGCATGTGCCACCAATGCCCGGCCCCTGTAGGATATTTCTTCTTGTGACTTGCACAAGAAGGGACGTGTCAGCACGATAATGCAAGAGATATTATTGGGTCTTTGGAGGATGCGGACCCTTTGTCGGTGTACATGTGTGGGAGAATGTCCTGGTGCTTTGGGCTCCTGATACCCAGTGAACAACCTTCGCTGAAGCCTCAAGGGTGTTTAACCACAAAGGGGTGCTCTGATCAATAGCAGACGCAGTTACCAACACGCAGCTGCCTTTTTCCTCAGCTACCCCATGTCTCACTCCTTGCCTACCCAGTATCATTCCACTCTTTTTTTAGGAGGGTCTTCCTCCTTCGTGGTGGACCACCCCCCTCCCACCCCCGCCCCAGGGACAGGAGCATAGCATGCATTAGCGTCTTAGGCTGCCACAACGCATTACACAAGCTGGGTGGCTTCGAACAACAGAAAACATTTTTTTCTTTTGTGCTTCTGAAGGCCAGAAACCCCAAACCCTCTGTAATGTCTATGAGGACAGTTGCCCTGGGCTTCCCTCCTGCTTCAAGTGGCAGCCAGCGATACTCAGCACCCCTCATCTTGTGGGGGGGCACCACCAGCCTCTCCCGTGTCTTCCTCTGCCTTCTCATCTCTGGCATCTGTTCTCTACTGAGGTGCCTGCCCTACTCTGATGTGGCCTTATCCTAATTACACACACAAAGACCTTGTTCTGAGATAATGCCCCATCCTGAGGTTCCCGGTGGAAATGATTCTGGGAAGGTGAGGAAGGTGAAGGACACAGTATGGAGAAGCCACTCGGGGCGGGGGGGGGGGTCCATGCTCTGGCAGTGTCTGGGTTGGCGGCAGGGTGGGTCCTGATGTCCACCTCCTATTTCTGGATCCATTGGAGGGAAGTCTACACTGCTACCTCAGCCACCAGAGGAGTGCCCCCCCCCCACACTTTCAGAGATCTTGGCTCAGACCTTACCAGTATTTGTGGCATCGGCACAGAAGAAAAAAAATTCAGCACTAGCCAGTTTATCAAGCAGAGATGGAGGTGGTAGGTATTTATTTATTTAGAGGCAGGGTCTCATTATATAGCTCTGGCTGGCTTGGGACTCGCTGTATAAACCAAGTTAGACTTTCTGTTTTTTTTTTTTTTTTTTTGGTTTTTCGAGACAGGGTTTCTCTGTGGCTTTGGAGGTTGTCCTGGAACTCGATTGGTAGTCCAGGCTGGTCTGGAACTCACAGAGATCCACCTGCCTCTGCCTCCCGAGTGCTGGGATTAAAGGCATGCGTCACCAACGCCCGGCTCAAGTTAGACTTTCTGAACTCATGGGCATCTGCCTGTGCCTCCCAAGTGTTGGAATT